ATATATCAGTATATATATATATATATAATATATATATATATATATATATATATACACTGTCCCCATGCTGGTCTGGTTAACTTAGAAAGACATTCATGCTCTTTTGATCAACTCATGAAAATAAATTTACACAGCCAGCTGATATAATCAGCTGATCCACCCAACTGATAAAAATGTTAATCAAAAAAATTCAGTCATTGCAGACTTCATCAGTACCTTGCACTTTCCTGTGAGAGTCCCTCCCTTAAGACTCACCCCATTATAGGGGCTTATTGATTAGTCACAACTTAGCTTTCTATCTGAAGGGAAGTCCAAATACCATGAGTGTTTTGATACAGCACTAACAGAAGTTCTTAGATCACTCTGTCGGAGCTGCAAATCTGCAACTTTAACCTACCTTGAACTGCCAATCCTGCCCAATCTCAAACAGCAGGACAGAAAGGACAACTTTTAGCATACAAATGCATATCTCTAATTCAGACATGAAATCTGCTAGACAGCTTATTTACTAATGCATGTATCTTTTCCATTATTAACAGACTTTATTCTTGATGTCCGTGTTCCCCTCTGTTCTTTGTCTTCGCTGTTCTTGGCAGTTCTGTGTTTCACATTCAGAGAGAAGTGCTCCTTTTTATCCCTGTCACATGCTTTTAAGTGTTGCTTTTTTAAACTTTGCTTTACTTGGAATTTAGAAGTCCTATCTGCCACAAAGCCTGGATGTGGATCTGGATTTCCCTAAGGGTCAATTGAGCTTTCCTCACAACACTTTGGAATCATTTCTAATGACAGAACATATTATTAGCAGAAAAGTAATATACATAAGGAATGATGTCATACATCAGCTTTTTGGAATACAAAATAGTTTAAGCAATGACAATAGCTCACAAAGAGGTCAATCTTTCATGTTAAACTGCTGCTCTGATGTATGCTCCATAAATCATTGAAGGAAACTTGCTTTGACAGGGGAGTGAAGTCATCTAGCATTCTTCACATCACATAAATAAGCAATTTAGGTTTGACCAAGATGAAAAAGGTGAGGAATTTAATTTCCTCATTTAGCAAACAGGCAATTCTAGTGGGATAATTTATAGATTACATTTCTCTTTTACTGCAAGCACTGTCAATGAAAGCAATGCAGGTGTGTTTGATCCACATCAACATCCTTAATTATATACATTTATTTATTTATATTAACAACACAGCAAAACACAAGAGTGTGAGAATTGGGACAAGAAAATTGAAGGGAGCCTCCGCTGAGACTATCCTGGCCTCGGCAGTCCACCGGGCGCAGCCCGGCTGGAACCTACCGGGATAGGGGGTTACCTTAACTCCACAGTATGAAGCTGAAATGTAACAGTAGAACAGGTGGTGCCTGTGTCCTATTCTCCATATGTGACTCTGCGGGCTGGCAAAGCAACCATTCTGACTGAAACGGGGCAACTACAAGATGAGAAATAATTACTGTGGTGACCCACACAGGAAACTTGAATTCTTCCACTCCAGAACAAAGCTCTACCGTTTCAGACTTGCAGTGACAACCATGGCAACCTGTTCCTGCCATGGCTGCACCAAACTCTGAGCTATTTCTAATGTCATGTTCATGGAGCAAGAGAATATATTGAAAAAGTTCAATCTGTGGAATCCATTACTAAAATCATATGCTTGTACTGCCAGCCCTTTTCCACAGCAACAATTTCATTGACCTGTCCAACAGTATCAGTCTTTCCACTCAGCCTTTGATTTGTGTAGAAAAAAAAGTTGCTCACATTTGCTTAAGGCTAGGTCAGGACTTCAGACAGAAAACAGAAACTATAGTATCTTCAGAACAGGGGACTTCACAAATCATTAATTTTGCTAATTCTGAGAATTATTAAAATCTGAAAATGTAATTATCTTAAAATTTGTGTGATTACTTTTACTTTACAGGCTACCAGGAACATATATGCTTAATTTTCAAACATAAATATTTTCTACTCCTTTCCTTAATTTCCTTTCCCTCCTTTTTCTTCTTATAGTCCATTTATTTTTAAGAACACAAAGAAGAACTGGTCAGGGACATAAAGGCAGGCAGTAATCATGAGATGCTGGAGCTCCTGAAAAGAAGGGGAAAATACAAAACCAAAATCACAATCAAGCCTGGACTTTAAAAGAACAGACTTTGGTCTGCTCAGGAGTCTGTGTTCACAGGAGAAATCCCGTGGCAGAGAGCCCTGTAGAGAAAAGAGGCTCAGGATGGGACTGGTTTTCAAGGATGAGCTCCACTGAACTCAATAATGGTTTGTCCCAAAAAAGTATGATACAAAACAAAGGTGGCAGCAAATGTCTTCAAGACAGGGAAATACAAGACAGTCAGGCTGACATGAGGAACTGACATTTTAAAATAAATCTTTACAATAAACCTTTGGCTACTGAAAGGAACTCCTTGGGCTTGGACAGGTTGCTCTGTCTTGTGCTGTGTGGCCCAATAAGGTCTAAAGGAGATTTTTCACAGCCTCCACATCCAAAGATCTCCTCCTCCTCCCTCACTCCACTTTGAGTGGTGTGTGGTTTAAGGGGTTGGCAGGTCCATACCAGCTTCAGGGACAGTCCTGTAGGAGTGAGCTGTAGGATGCTGTTGACCCATTTTCATAGGATAATTCTGTGGCTTTTGATATTTCAAACTCATCGAGACAAGAGTAGTGATTCAGGGGGCAAAACAAGCTAGTACAGCTCCTCCTAGAATCAATTGTGCACACAGCAGAAATCATGCAAGGCATGAACACTGACTGAACACAGAACTTTAGCCCTGTTTTACAAGTTTTTGGCTCGTTGTAGGCAGATTTTTGACATAAACATCAGACTTCTCCCACTTGCCAGAAAGCTGGATCTAAATTCTGCCCCTACATCCCTGATTTCTTCACTGCTGCAGCTGACTGCATATTCTATTGCAAAACATTTAAATATAGAATGCAGGATTTAATTCAGTAAGATCAATAAAATCAATAATTCAGTGTAAGCGATTAAGTAATGACACTTATTAAATGTAACTCATCAAACTAAATGCTCTTCTCCAGCTTGGAGCTGGAGTACATTTGTTCCAAACATACACATTCAAAAAAAAAAAAAAAAAACCAAAAAAAACCAAAAAAACCCAAAAAACTTTGATCACAGACAATTCAACTTGTATCTAGCTCATCTTTTTTCTCACAAATGGTAAACCACAGTAAATCTACCCTTTGAAAAGATAACACTAGCTCACAGGAAATGCTTTTTCTGAAAACATTCATTTAAACCAGGCAGGAAATGTCAGCTTGTCTTGAAGGCAGGCTGAGATCAAGAGCTGAGAGCCACAGCTCAGCTGTGGACATGCTATTGGTGTAAAGAAAAAAGTAACAACTGACCACGACCAGGCTGAGGCATAAATACCTAATAGCTCTCATTCTTGTTGCAATGGTTCAGGCAGAAAGTAAAGATTTCTCCAGTGGCAACAGCTCTGCTATAGCCTTTCCACATCAAAAGAGTCCCTTCTTACCCACCCAAACATCGTCCTTCACCTCCATGTACTGAATTTTGAAGAACTAATCATAGGAAGCTGATCAAATAAAAAAATATTTCTGCAAGGCCATATGGGAGTTGAGCACATCCACCTCATTACAGTCACCCAATCAAGGTCCATTTAAATACATAAGATTATAATAAGCTACAGAGACAGAAACCTGGTGCACATAACAGAAGGAGCATTTTACCCATAATATCAGAGGATGGATGTGAAATTCTGCACTGTTTTATTTCTGAAAATGCTCAGAAATGAAATGTTTTATTTCATGAAAAGGTGAGCAAAATGAAATGAAAAATCAAGACAGGCAATTTGTCTTTCATGCCTTCATTATTTATCTTGGGTTAAACATCAGCATGAAGAACAATTCCTCTCAGTGATCCTCATGGATCCCTTCCAACTCAGGGCATTCTATGACTCCATGATTCTATGAAGTAAAATGCCCCTTGCAGAAGCGGGGGCTGTTTAAAAACAAGGCAAGAGGAAAACACTAGCTCACCTCCTGCTTTTATCATAGATAGAAAGACCTGTTAAACCTCCCAAAAATATGAGAGTAACATGAAACTTAGGTGAAAAAAGTAGCCTCTTTAAGTGTCTTGGAGAGTTGGGGGGATGTTTGTGGATTATTGCTATTTCTTGATGGTGCAGCACCTGCTACAAATAGACCCACAAGCTGCAGGAGGTAGCACATAAACCAGTGCACTCTCACATTCTCATGACCACCAAAGCCCTCACCAAAAATGCAATTCTGTGAATGCAGAAGAGTACTGCAGTACTTCTCTTCCATGTGGCTGAACGAGAGTCCTTTGCAACATGCCCACTGTAGCACAAAGAAGATTTTGCAGTTCAATGACTTTCAAAGTTCATATTGCTCATGTGTGGTTTAAAAAAGTTCCAAGCATGGTGAAGCCAAATCATATCAGGAAAATTTAATATCTGTGCCTCCTGTCTGTTGTCACTTTTTGGACCACTTTTTTCACTCTCTGCCTGCTCTGGATAGGATTTCCTCATCCTTAGGAGATCCATTGGATCTAATTCAGTCTCTCACTGAAAAGGTGGTCAGATGCCTGAAGAAGACATGTAGAAGAGATAAGGCTTTGAATGAAAGATAAGCTACATTTAAGAAGAACAGAGAAACAATCCATCAGAAACAAATTATGCAGATGGCCCTGTCATCTTTGAGAAAATTAAATATAATAATAAAAAGGCAACATTTTTGATGGGAACAAAACATTATAATTAAACAACTAAAACCAAGTCTATCACTAAAAACTGAAAAGCCATGATTCTCCACAAAACACCTGAAAAATTTCCACCAAGTACTCAGTGGGTCCACTAAGGAGAAACTGATGCACGAGTCTACATTGATCCTAAAATGGAGACTGCTATGTGGAAAAGATTTAAAGTATAGGCTACTTTAAAAAGCAGGGAGGGCAGTTAAACTAGGGTAACTCCACATGTACAATTACATTATGCCAGTATAAAATTTATTATCATCTAGATTCAGTTACTTCCAAACCAACAAATTAACCAGGGGAAGACAAATCAGAGTAAGAATGCTTACATTCTTAGAATGAATAAGGACACATTACTGAAGGGAAATTAAATCACATCTTGTCATACAGTAAGAAAATGTCTTTCTGTGGGCAAATTCATAAGCAGGGTCTTGGCACAGATTTGTTGCAGGGGAAACCAAAGTAGATCTTTTGCTGGAGGCTGTGAGGTGCTCAGCATCTGAATTCCCATGGACTTCCTTGATCCGAGCTTTCACAACAGAAATAAAATATGAGCATTTGTAAATCAGAGCATTGCTTTCTGTGCTCTGAGAAGAGTGCTGCATTTGTTATCTTTAGCTCTCTGTTTAACAAGGCACCCTGTGCATTATTTGTCAGGTCTGCAGGAGCACTGGGGATGCTTTCACAGCTCTGGGATTGTATTATCTGCCACATACCCACATTTCACAGGCAAGACCTTTCTGAATACCTACTTTTCAGTGGGAGGTTTGAACCAATCAAATGCTTTTTAAAATAAATTGTTTATTCACCAAAGATAACTGTGAATTTGACCTAATTTACGAGGTAGCTTTGAAACTGTTTCCAAGTGAGGGAGAGAGAAAAGGATGTTATTATTCTACCATTTGGAAAAGAAGGTATCTCAATTCTCCAGGTCAGATTTACACCAACTGGTTTATGAAGATCCAGGTGGCAATTAGCAAACACCATGGGAAAAGTCAGAAAGCTGACTGCTTCCTCTTGAATGGACTTTGCAATGTCCCAGTGTATAGTGGTGACACATGGACTGTATGAACTCACATTTATTTATGGAAGCAAACATCATTTCCTACAAAGCCTAAGTGACATAGAAAGAACAACTATTTAATTCATGTCATTTGGCATTAAAAATAGAAAACTTCTTACCATTGTCTTTGGAAGAAGACCAACAAGTTTTCATGGAAACCAGAATGGAAAGAGTCATGCTAAGTAGGGAGATGCTGAGTGAACACTGAATCCACTCTTCACACAGAATGGTAAAATTATTCCTTTAATGTGTATTTAGTCTTTTTTCACAAGGACCTTTAGTGCTCACAGTTTCAAAATAGTAAGAGAAAAAAAAAAAAAAACCCTAAGATACTATCAACTTTAAAAACAGAAGTGAGAAAATCTGTTTCACAGACTGATTCTGCTTCTTTTTAAATGAAAGTAAAATAGCCACAACTTCCAGTGCAAAAATTTTTATGATGTCTGCATGTCCATTAAAATCAATGATAAAAAAATTTCATATAAGCTTTGAAGTACTCCCCTGACCTGCAGAGAAAGCACACTCTCCACTGAAGATGTACGACATTTGTGTAACAGCTTCTGCATCCACAGACATGAAGGGTTTTGTTTGGTTTTGTTGTTGTTGGGCAAGGAGGCGTGGGGATTGGTTTTTTGTGTGTTTGAATACAGTGCACAGGCTCCCAAGGGAAGCTAAAGCATAAAGCACTGGAGAAATCCCAGAGAATTATTGAATACCACCCCAGTATGTTTCCCAGGACCTCTCCTCTTTCAAATACCCAACTGATGCATTTTCCTGGGACAGAAAAGATGGGGAAAAATTTTCAGACACCTCATGGTAGGTTGACTCTGGCTGAATGGCAGGTACCCATCCAGCCACTCTGTAATTTCCTCTTCTTAACTGGACAGGGGAGAGAAAATAGAACAAAAGTCTCCCAGGTCAAGATCAGGACAGCAAGAGATCATTCACCAATTACTGTTATGGGCAAAACAGACTCAACTTGAGAAAAAATAGTTTTGTGCTAATCAAATTAGGAAGTATAATGAGAAATAAAACCAAGTCTTGCAGCACCTTCCTCCACCCTTCCCTTCTTCCCAGGCTCAGTTTCACTCCCAATTTCTCTACCTTTTCTCATCCAGCAGGGAGAATGGGGGTTGTGGTGAGTTCATCTCACATTGTCTCTGCTGCTCCTTCCTCCGCAGGGGGAGGACTCCTCACACGCTTTCCCTGCTCCAGTGTGGCATCCCTCCAAAGGAAAGTAGGTCCTTCAAGAATTTCTCCAACATAAGTTCTTCGCAAGGGTTGTTTTTCATGAAGTGCTCCAGCATGAGTCATATGAGGTGCAGTCCTTCTCCAATGAGGGCTCCCCTCTCCACAGATTCTGCCAGGACAGACTCTGCTCCAGCACAGGCTTCCCTTGGAGTCACAGCCTCCTCCAGACATCCCCCTGCTCTGGGGTGGGCTCCTTCAGGGGCTGCACGTGGATCTCTGCACCCACCCCTGCCCTCCAGGGGCTGCAGGGGCTCAGCCACCTCTCTGTGGGCTGCACCACAGAATCTCAGGGAAATCTCAGCTCTGGAACAGCTCCTACCCCTCCTTCTGCCCTGCCCTGGGTGTTTGCATAGCTGTTCCTCTCACATTCACACTCCTCTCTTTCACCTGCTGCTGTGCAGTATCTTTTACACTTTCTTAAATATGTAATCACAGAGGTGCTGCCAGTGTTGCTGAAGGGCTCAGCCTTGACCAGCAGCAGGTCCCATCGTGGAGCTGAGGGAAGTTTCTGGCATCTTCTCACAGAAGTCACCTCTGCAGTCCACCCCATCACCAAAACCTTGCCACACAAACCTAACACTGCTTTAAGTTAAGTTTCTCATTACATTTTCTACAGCTTCCTAACACACTTTACTTCCAAATGGCGGGCAGAATGATACCAACAAGTTGATTTAACAATGATGATAACAGTTTCTTGTGTCTGGCCTGAAGATTATATAGATGTTTGAAGAACAAAGGGATCCCTTCCAATATATGCACCTTGTTCTGATCTTGCAAAATATTTAGAAAGGGAAAACTCTGAGACTTCTTTCTCCTTACCAAAATATGAAAGGACCCTTCAGAGGACTGTGTATTCCCTCACCAGGCTATGCACATCAACACCAGCAACATCAGCATAGAGTTCAGGCACCACTGGCTCAGGTAGCTGCAGCACTGTGTGCCCATTGCTGGTCTTCATAGCTGTTTTCAGGGAGCACAAGAGCTGTGCTGGGGAAGGCCGGTGAGCTGCACTCCACTGCCAGCAGGATTTCATGATGCAGTACCTGTAAATTATTAAATTATGAAATTATGCCTTCATACAATGAAATGTACCTTAGATCTTCCCTTTGGATACTTTGTTCACTTCAGAGTATATCCTATAACTTAGAGGAGAAAAATCATTCCCCAGCAGTGCTGCACCTTGCAAGGAAGCAGTGGAGCAGCAAAATGCAAGGGCACTTAAGCAAACAGAAACAAGTGTCATTTTCAACAGGACAGAAAGGTTTTGGCCACAGAGGTTTCATGCAGCAGAACTCAGTAAGGAGATGTGGCAGACACAAACCTCCTCAGCTGGCAGATTACTCTCAGTATAGTCTAGACTTAGAAATCTTGTGTAAAATCTCATTTTGCATGTCTCATTTCCATTTAGCTTTGCCAACCTCATGTTCAATTGTCCATAAAACAAGTGGCTTACATGGCTTGCTGACAGCTCAAGGGCTGCTTCATAATATTCTGTTTCTGCAGGTATGATAAGATGTCAGAAGGTGGCACCTCAGGATATGGTGGAGCACCTGGAAGAGCAAAAGGAGCAATGGTAGAAAACTCTATGGCAGTGGTTGCAGAGAGCAGCTTCTGTGCAAGACTGCCTTCCTTCCCTACCAAAATCTGGTTTTTTTCCTACCACAATTTACAATAACAGAAGGTCTAAAAGGAATTGATGAGACTTTGCAAATTGGAAAAAACCAGAGTGCTCATTTAAATGGCCCAACTTTACATTCTAAAATTTGAGATTTTGGATCTTGTTAATTTGCTGCTTCCTTATGTTTTTTTGGTTTTGGTTTTTTTTTTATTAGCATTAAATCTTCTTACCTAATGTAATCATTTCATACAGTAGAATTCCAAAAGACCATCTGCAAGAAAAGAAAACAAAGTGATGCTGTTTGCTGGCTTAAATACATAAAAACAACTAGGCATGGCCTGCAGACAGGAGAAAGAATGAGCTGTAAAAGTGGAGTGTTATGCTGAAACTACATCTGCCTTCCTGTGAATTTCAGGGCATGAAATTATAGATAAAGGAGTGAAAGAGACAGGTGAACTTCTAGTCCCAAAATGAAGCCATACATGTCTGCCTTGATGGTAGGGGGTTTACTCAGGAGCCTCTCTGGTGCCTGCCACTTGACGGGCACTTTCCGTATGACTGAGCTGGCACCATGTGTGTGAGTTTCATAGGCCAGGCCCAAACCACAGAGCTTAGCAGTGAAGTTGTGATGGAGAAGGACATTCTTGGCAGCAATGTCACCATGGAACAAGTTCTTTTCTTCGAGATAAACCTGGGAAATTCAAAAAGAAAGAAGACCGGATGATTTTTAAAAGCAAATTTAACTGATAAAAATTTTCACTGAGTTTATGCTTACCTTCAACATTGTGGAGTTACATGTGCCCACCGACATAACGGAAGCATATTTTAACAAAGCCTTTATTCTCAGTGCTTAGGCCAAGAAGACTTAAGCCACCACACAAACTTGTGTTACAGTCAAGCAAGAAGGAAAAAATGCAGCCAACCTGAGCAGACTTACCAGAGCTGCTGCAACCTGCTGTCCAACCTCATATACCTGCCTCTCAGTGAGGTCATAGGGGATACCATCCATTGCCATTACATCCTAGACACAAAGTAAGAGACCTTGGTTCAAGCAAATGCCACAGCATTTGCCACAGTAGGATTGTGGGGAATGTTTCCTTCTAATCTATCTAATCTTATGCTCCTCCTTCTCACAATTGCTCATAAATTGACTGAAATGTAGGAGGATGTGGATGGGTGATGTTGAGGGTGTGTTGAGTAAGACAAGTATATTACAGACATCTGGTGGGCAAATTGACATGTGGGGAAAAATTAATGTTAGAAATTGTCAGAATGACAGTGAAGAATGACAATCCACACAGGTGAATAAAAGATATATTATAAATTAGAATGATGGGTAGAAAAGCACATTCCTAACACTTGAATTGGGCACTTGGTATGAGACTAACAGTCCATCTCTCCTACCACCCTGCCTGTAACAGTAAGAGAGAGAGAGATGAGAGAGAGAATAAGGTAAGCACACAATGTTCTTCCTGTGCCATTTTACAGCCCACAGATACATTCTACTTAAAAACTTCTTTAGATGGTTATGGTTTCAACATGTTCAGTAACCTTTGAAAGATTGCCTTCCATAACTGACCTCATATGAACTGTCACTATCCACAGCAGTCAGTGGCAAGACATTCCATTAGTCAAATCCTCAGATCATGAAGAATCAGCTCCATTTGTATGTTTTGAATGTGACATGTACTAGCCTTATTTCCTACCACCTGGACCTTCTGATGAACAGGACAGGAATCAATCCTCTATTTAGAGTTTCAGATGTAGGAGAGTGATGGAATTACATGGTAACAGCAGAGTTTTGTTTCCATGCCTTTTGTAACAATGAGTCATAGAATCAGAATATGCTGAAGTGGAAGTGACCCAAAAGGACCATTGAGTCCAACTCCTGGCCCTGCATAGGACATTCCAACAACCCCACTCTGTCCCTGACAGTGTTGTCCAAACAATCATGGAGCTCAGACAGTCTTGCAGCTGTGACCATACCCTGGAGCACATGTTCAGTGCCCCATCACCCTCTGGGGGAAGAATATCTTCCTGCTATCCAATATAAACCTCCCCTGATATTTAGGCTCTTTTTTTAGCTTGAGTCCATTTTCAATGGACTGCATATTTTCATACTATCAGACCTCATCAGCAATGGGCAGACACGAAGCCATTGTTCACATATATGAAACTTCTTCCTGTGCATTATTTCATTTTTAACTATGCTGAATTTCATCTGTTCTTTTTATTGACAAGTCTCTCAAGCTTGGAAGATCCTTCTGCAATTCCTTTGGGTCTGCCCTTGGCTTTACTGGCTGGAATCATCACCAAATATCCTCACGTCACTGTCATCCCATTTTTAGGTTATTAATACATAGAATGAACAGCACCATGCCCTAGATAGCTGACCTCCCTTCAGTGCAAGTACCAGCCTTTCATTCTTATATTCTACTTCCTGTATTTTACCAACTAGTTATCATCCCATGACCTTCCCCTGTGTTGTAACTGCTCTGCTTTCTTAAAAGCATTTGGAGTGAGACATGATTGAAAACTTTAGAAATTCAGGTGGCTGTATGAATTCATTCTAATTCCAGTGCCTGCAATGCCCTTCAATGGTCTGCCAAGTAGGACCTGTGTAGAACTTCTTTGGAGCATGGAAATAGTTTTGATTTATACAGAGGGATGCATGGAGAGATAAAAAAATAATTTATGACTTAGGGATAGATATGTACCTAAGGAACTCAAGAAGCTATTCTGTCATCACTTCTTTTGACTCACCTTCCGACATGTCCACAGAAATGTCAGCAGGTCACCAAGAGACACATCTTCCATGATCATATAAAGTGGGAGCTGGTCTACACAACATCCAACCAATTCAACCAGGTTCTCATGATGGCCAAGATTTTGATGAAATTTAATCCTTCCCAAGAAATCCTCTACTTTCTCGGGACTAGCTGGATCTAAGAGAACAAAAGAAAACAAATTAAAAAAACCCAAACCAACAACAAATGAAAGCAGCAAACAGCAGGCTGACAGCTAAAACCAACATGATCATCAGTCTTTAATACTACCAAGACATTCCTACAGGAACATCTCAGATTTACTGTACTGAACATAGCTTGTTCTTGCCCAGTATTGATGGCAACGCTCTGCCCAGCACCATGTCTGGGATACAGACTGTACCAAAATGGATCCTGACCAGGGACCACACCTTGCAAGGCTTTCAATACCACAGTCTTAGTCTTCCCAGAGCTCCCAGTTTCCAACTGTGCTCTGTAGATGCTCCCATAGCTCCCAAGTTTTATCAGCTGCAAGGTGTCTGGTAAGAGTTTCTCTCGCGGTATCTCTAATTCTTTCAGAGTCAAGGATGCAGAATTTAGCAGGCTCTCCACAGATCTCTCACTCAGCTGGATGTAGCGGTTCTCTGTTGCACAGGGTTCCTGCTGATTCTTTCTTGTCACTGACAAAAGCAAATACATATGAGGCATAAAAGCAGACAGATGAACTCTTGTAATAGATGGCAATGCTCATCCTTCCATGCTCTTTAATTTTTGCTCCACAGTGTTTCAGAAATCAGGGCAAAGTAAGGAACTGTTATTGTATCCTACTTATCCTGGCCCCTGAAGAGGACAAAGAATTTATCTCCCACTCTATTTGATGAAAAGACAGAACCAGTCTAGAAATTTCTCCCACATTAAACTACATAACCTTAATAGATAAGACACATTTGGACTTCATTCCCACGTGCTCAAGCAATGAACATTTTCTTTTATTACCAGTTCTCAATTATTTCTCTTAATATAGGCTCAAGATCTGTTTCCCTCGACATATGCAAAATTAGTTCAGAACTGTATTTTCATTTCCACAGCCACACGCATACCAACAAGCCTTTCCCTACCCCCTCACCAGTTCTACTTCACCCTGTTCTACTACCTACTACTCCCTCACCCTGTTCTACTTCATGTTGTCTCCAAAGGAAGAGGGTGACAGCAGCTTGAAATTAAATTTCTTAAATGGCAGTATACAAAATGGATTAACTAGGTGTAATCTACATCAAAATTACTACCATTCATAATTACCCCAGTAAAACTCTCCTTGCAGCAGCCTTTAGGTGCTGTTACATAAATACACTTCACAACTCTTGTGATGTTACCACAGCATGTTAAACAGCCTACATGGCATGATGCTTTAGATTTTCTCAGATCCATCTAGACTACAGCTTTCACTACTGCTCCTGCAATGTAGGAATGTGCCCCCTGTTGATGGAGTGACAAAACTATCCATTGTCCCTTAAAAAGGAAAGAAGCCCAGAAGTTTCTCTCCTTGATTAGGTGAGAAGGCATCTCATAGGCCTAGGGGACTTCACCTCAAACTTAAGGATAGCTAACTGGACAGAAGCCAAAAAGTCCCACCTGAGCAATTTACTAGAAAAAGAAGTGAACAAAGAAACTAATCACTTTTGTGAGGTGTTTTACCAGGAGCAAGAACCTCCTGCACCTGGCTTGGTTTTTCTCTATTTGTTATTTTGCCTTTTATTAAACCTTTTTGTTTCCAACACTGCAACAGAAGCCATCCTGCTGACTTTTTGCCTCCAAAGGTAGCTGAGCTATCTTGGGTGTGTAATAGACCTCCAAGAGCTTATGAGACCTGGCTCAAGGAGGCTACTATAACACTGCAAAATGAAGTAAATCAGTGTTCACAATTTTTCTAATGTTTACTGGATTGATGAATACCACTCAGGATCCTCATAAATGGTTTTGCCTAACAGCTCAAGTGATGGGGAAATGGAATTGGCTTCTGGCTGTGAAACCAATACTCTTTCCTCTGGTTGAAAAGCATTTTTTTACCTTGGGATCCGGTTGGTGCTGATTGCTCCTGCTTTGCTCGCAGGCTGCGGCAGTGGAGCCAAAGGATCACAGTGAGCACAGTGACAAAAACTCCCACCAGGAGAACTGGGACAATGATCACTTCTGTTTGATATTCACGCACAACTGCCAGAAGAGAAAGAAAATGGAAAACCAGGGAGTAAGCAGCACACTTGGTTCTGTATAACCATGTAGCAACAATCCATTTCAGTAACTTTCAACCCCAGAAGTGTGTGGTCCATCCTCTGGAATAGCTGAACACTGTTAGTGCTGCCACCTTATTTTTCAAAGGTGCTGAGTACCTAAACTGCATGAAATCACTAAGACTCCCACACCTAAGGTCACTTATTTAGATGCTTTAATACGCAGGCCAGGAATTGTAGCCATTTGAAGTCACATCCACTAGTGAAACAGAAGCAGCACTGGAAGCAGGACAACAGGGAGATGGGACGGGCTGGATATTGCTATGTCATCACATGCAATTACAGCTCCAGCTCCTTCCAGTAAAATTACACAGAGCATTTTAAAGGAAACTAGGTGTGGTCACCTTTGGAATTTGACTGGAAGACATTGCAATTAGCAAGGCTTGTGAAGGTAACTATCTTTCTCATGTCCCCAGATTTGGAGGTGGTCAAGACCATTTTTTCCATTCCAAAAGATGGCAAAAAGTCATGAAATCAAAATCCCACAAAACTGGTCCTTTGGGAAGCAGCAGGGAATCTTTAATGACTGCTGTACACCTCATTTGAAGTAGGAATTCTCTAAAATGGCTGAAATCATGTGAGATTAATCCAGCCACAGAGGCTTCATCCCCATAAACATTTCTTCCCTGAAACACAACGCAGAGAAAGCTCCATCAAATCTTTCTGTGTGGGCTGGGATGCAGTGGAAGAAGAGAAAAGGCTTGGCACACTTTTTAGTGAACCTGGCCTTCCTGCAAGCATGTGAAATCTTATTAAAGGAATGTGTGAATCTTACCACATAGCTTGTCATTGCTATTGCACTCCAGAAGCATCCGTGAGAATCTTTTCACATCCCCTGCCATGTTCAGTTACAAGCAAGTAAGCCTCCAACCCCCACTTCCTGCACAGATGTAAAGAATAATAACAAAGTTTCTTAGGAGAAAGGACGATGATGAAGCAACAAGTGAAGTGAATAGGGAGCTTTTTACCCCTTACAATCAGTGGCTGCATGAAGCAGCACTGGGATTTAAAGGCTTACAGAATGACACAGGATATGCACTAGCACGTCCTATGGATGATGCACTGCATGACCAGAGAGAATTTAGGGTTAAGCTTGTTCTACAGTGCTCCACAAGCAAATGAGGACCCCTAGTTCTAAAGGCTGGTATATGTACAAAAATCCATAGATATGAACCTCATTATATTTAAAGAACATCTAATATCCTCCTAGCTAACACATTTTTAAGATGCCAGAATGGCTCAGCATTTTATCTTCTGGTCCATTACAAGTGAACAGATCAGCAGCATGCAGAGAAAATGTCGTTTTTGACTACAGTCCTTGCCACAACTCCTCCTGTTGCTGTACAAAGACAAGGAGAAAAAAGAGGTGTCATTAGGGCTCTCTGGTACCAACTTCTGAGCACTGCCAAGTCTGTAGGTATTCTGAAACACAACATCTGCAACTCTTCTGCATTTGTAGCTTTTTGAAAATCCACAGCCTGTACAAGCATGCACCTTGTTTAGTCACTGCTTCTTATAAACATTGCCAAAATGTAACATCTTCGCAAACAGTATTACCTAGAACATTTTATAGGAATCATGACTTATATCCTGTAAGCGCCTACTTTGTTTTCAGCTATGCGTTTTAGGCAATTAACCTCAATGGCAAATATAGGGCATTGATTTTATGGAATTTGATGATGAAAAATTCAACAGTTTGTTCTCATGCTTAAAATTAATGAGTGAAATTATTCTTTACCAGTTGCACATCAGAGACAGCAGAGAGAGGAAAATGGAATATACCTGTGCTTTAAGGTATCACAAAAAGTCTGTTTCCTTTTTTTACTTAATTTCATTCTTAATGTGCTAGCAGATTGACCTAGTTCCAAGGCTGGCTACACCAGGAATCCAGTCAAAGGAGTAATAACACAGCAATAATACCAAGCTTTTCACGTACACTCTGAAAGCAAGCACACTGAAACAACCCACCTCAGCTCTAACACACACACACACACACTTACACACAAATACACAGGACCAGGCCTGGCTTCCTTCATTCTCAGGTACACACAGACTTCAGGACCACTAGCCAGTAATCATATTGTATAAGTCATGACCAGTCCAAGCTCCATCTTAAAACTGCCAATGGCTTTGTACAGGTGCTTACTAGAAATGCACACTGACATTTACACACCATGCAAGCACAGGCACTAAAAAGCACACATATCCCAATTTGTGCTTACAGAGAGAGCAGCAAAGATCCATGGAAAAAGCTCTGACACAGCAGCCATGTCTACACTGGTCCCTGTCTGTAGAGAAGATTCCTCCCTACTCTTTATGCACCTCCCAGCCGTGATGCCAGTGGGTGGCACTCATGTTTTCCAACCATACTCAGGGCAGAACCATGGGATCTAGGAATGAAAACAATGGCAGTCATTGGCACTTCATTTGCCCTGGCACTCCCATGTGCTGTGGTTGCTTATGGAGGTGTAAGCAATGGAAAAGATTGATTACAGAAGCGCACTTACACTCTACCTCTCTATCCTCTCACAATACTCAGCAAGCAGAAAAAGAAGTTTTGCTCAGTAAGGTAATTCTGAAGTGTCTTTCAGTGCTACTTTTCAGGTCAAGACTAAATAAATTCCTGGACTAGGCTGTTTCTGCAGCTTACTTGTCTAACAGTAACATCACTGCAGTTCTTACATTCCTATCCTCACAAGGAGAATGGTAACTCAGAAATCCACAGAACTCACGTTATACATTTAATATTTTTTGCAATGGGAGACATGAAAGTTATGTGGAACTAACATGTTCATGTGCGTACTCAACACAGAGCAGGACTACTGACAGTGCTCAACTAATTTTATTAGATTAAGACATTTTTCAAGACAGAATAAAGGAAACAAAAATATCTTAAAAGGTTCAAAATCTGTGCCTTACTGGCATTCTGATTTTCCTTGCCTGTGGGTTAACACTGTACCAAGATCAGTGCTGTCTAGATCATGTGCACACATACACTGTGTTACTTCAATTTAGAATTTGCATTAGAGAATTTGTGCAATTTTTACTAAATATCAGCTTGTTTATTCCACTGGATTTTTGAAATTTTCCTTTACACAGACTGAATTCCATTCACTGGAATTCATAGAGTTGTAAAGGTTGGAAAAGATCATGAAAACCATCAAATCACACAGTCAGTCCAGCATCACCACCATGTTCACCACTAAACCATGCCCTCATGTGCCACATCCACAGGCTTTTTGTACATTTCCAGGCATGGTAACTCCACCAACTTCACTGGGCAGCCCATCCCAATGTTTAATGACTCTTAGCAAAGAAATTTTTCCTGATCTAATATAAACATCCCCTGGCACAGCTTGAGGCCATTTCCTCTCATCCCGTCCCTTGTTCCCTGGGAGCAGAGCCCAATCCCCCCCAGCTGTCCCCTCCTGTCAGGGAGTTGTGCAGAGCCAGAAGGTCCCCCCTGAGCCTCCTTTTCTCCAGGCTGAGCCCCCCCAGCTCCCTCAGCCCCTCCTGGTGTTCCAGCCCCTTCCCCAGCTCCGTTCCCTTCTCTGGACACGCTCCAGCCCCTCAATGTGTTTCCTGTCCTGAGGTTCCCAGAAGTGCCCCAGGATCTGAGGTGTGGCCCCAGCAGTGCCAGCCCAGGGGACAGTCACTGCCCTGGCCCTGCTGCCACACCAGGGCTGGCACAGCCCAGGTGCCATTGGCCTCCTGCCCCCCTGGGCACCCCTGGGCTCCTGTCCAGTGCTGTCCCCAGCACCCCCAGGGCCTTTCCCAGCTTTCCAGCCCCTCTGCCCCAGCCTGGAGCTGCAGGGGGCTGGTGTGACCCAAGGCAGGACCGGGCCCTTGGCCTTGTGGAATCTCAGAGCACTGGCCTGGGCCCATGGATCCAGCCTGTCCAGATCCCTCTGCAGAGCCTTCTGACCCTCAACCTGAACCCAAATCCTGATGTCAAAGCTAAATATACAATGAAGACCACAGTAGCTAAAAATAGCACAAGCAGCTGCTCTTAGACAATGGGAAATACAGGGCAAAACCTTAGCAGAAATTAAATTACAGTCACCTGCACTTGCAAAGAGCTCCTAGCAGACTACTTGGTGCACTACATGTGGCACAGCAGTTCCATAGCTTGGCAGCAGTGACAGGTTAATTAGCTCTCATCCTACACCAACACTGTTCCTCTGTGCACACTTGCCAACAGGATGAACAGCTGGGCAACACAGGGACAGGAACAAGCAGCTAGAAGGTGGCATCTGTGGGAGCTGCTTAAACCAGTTCAGGAAACCCAAATACTGAATGTGAATGTAGCTGAGCTGAATTAAGTGTTCACCAATGCCAAAAGAAGGAATTATCTCCTGTCTTTGCTGTCTTCTCATTGCTTGTTTTGCTCTCAGTTGTGCAACTGATCACATGGTAAATTGATTCAAACCACTAACCTAGCAGGAAAAATCCACTGCTCTTTTGCCATGGTGATTTCCTGCCATTTTAGTGGCTGGTATTAGTCAGGGGTGAATGGCTAATTCACCTAAAGCTGCAGTGTGAAACCACTCCCTGTGTCAGCACAGATCCACAAGCACTGTGTGCCAGCAGAAGCCTTACTGTGATTTTTCCAGTCCCCTGTCACTCATTCTCACATGGAACCATTCCCTTAGCAATAGCAGAAACATTCACATAATTGTAAAGCCCTAAAATAATCAATGCTCTCTGACGTCTTATGGCCTTGAAGTTCTCATTAAGTTCAAATTATGTTATTTAAAGTGCCAGGACTAATACTTAAGAAGCCTGAGTGACAAACTTCGTGATGAAGACTGAAAAGAAATATCAAGACTTAAGACGCCCATGGAATATATGGGAACAGACAGCTTGAATACTGCCCACATAGAAGCTGCCTGCTGCTTGCTCCTGCCATGTTCAGGATAGTAACTTGTCCATATTCACAGCAAATATACAGTTTTGCCCCTGAATATGTCTAATTTGCAAGCTACGAGCAGTTCTCATCATCAGTGCAAACATGTAAATCCTTGTGTAATGATTAGCTAAAGGTCTAAAGAAACAGCTGATTAATTAAATATGACAAAAATAAAGGCTAAGATTCATCTAGATCTTCATTAGACCATTTAAAAAGTGCTATGAGCTGACATGGATTTAATGCAATTATTTCTCCAGACATCCTCTCCCATGTTAACTGCACACCACTTTATTATAAAAATATTCTTACACTTGTTTTTCATGCACCAATTGTGAGGACCAGCTGTAATGTGACTACAGGCACATAAAGTAGAGCTGAGTAATTCAGTAACTGCAGTCCAGCACACCGCCTGACTGATAAAAGACAAATCTTTAAACATTATGTCTTCTACTCAATTTCTTGCAGTGGCAAAACCTTGCTCTCCAGCTTTTCCCGTTACCATTTCACTGCTGCTTTTATTATTTCCCTCCTATCTGACCTTTGAACATGGTCAACGGTCAAGGCTTTGGCAACTGCTCTGCACAAGCGCACTGTGTTGGCTGTGCAGCAGGAAGGGAGAGGAGCTACCAGGGAATTACGGGAACCAAAACAGCAGGAAACCACAGGAGTGGGCAGTTGTGGACATTGAATGTAAGAGAAGAGGGAGGAATAAAGCACCATTGCAAAGCAAACAAAGAGATTTTTTCTTCCTCTGCTTTGTCCATCGTTTACTAAAAGCAGCATCCAAAACAAATAAAAAAACAAGCCCGACAGGTTTCAGTCATGCATTTGTTAGACTGCATATTCTGTCTCTTCTGCCTGCACAAGACCTTATTGACTATTTCCAACAGCCTGGCAGACCATGTCATTTTTGCAAGGTTTCCCTGGCCCATGGAGTCACCTAATCTCTCACTGCAAGGCACCTGTGGGTCACCAAGCAGCATCTTCACCTGTGCTGAATGGAAAATTCTGAGCAGCCACACCAGCGTCCCTTCTGTCCTTGTGAACAAGGACTAAAAATAATATCCTGTGGCTTGCTGTAGCACTGTCTCAGCTATCAAGATTTAGTATTACAACTCACTTTTGAAATAGCTGGTACCTGTAATACCCTGTAAGAAAACAAAGCGTTTCAAAAATCAGATACAGAAACACAAGATTTTCTTTTGGTGGTCCAAAATTAGAAGCAATACTTGCATATTAAACCTAGGCTAGCTGCTAGAGAAGGAAATTAAGGGAGTGGAAGAAAATTAGGCTGACCACTTTTGAAGAGCTAGACCATAGAGAAAACAGCAAATAATGAGGCCCATGCTGCTGTTTCAGCAGGTGGTTGCTTAGAGGAAACTTGGCTCCTTTTCAATATAGCAGAAAAAACAGGCAAAGTTAACAGTTACTACTGCACTGAAAAATTAGTCAGGAGGACTCAGTGTTGCTGTGCTTTTATGCTAAAAATTTTAGCTCTAACTGGCACCATTTCAGTGGAGATATGCAAGTTCTTACGGTGCTAGGTTTTGCTTAGATCATCTACAAAAAATAATTTATTTGTGCTGCATAAGGAAATCTAAGTACAGAAGTGTGAAATGGTACAGAACCTGAATGAGGATTAAGACATTTTTTCTAATGCAGACATGGACTACTATAGTTTCTAAAAAATTAACATATATCTTGAACATTCCCAATTAATTAAGGCCACCCAAAGTAATTCCTCACAGGTAATCTGAAGAATGAGTTAAAATAATAAAAAAACCCAAGGAATACATTAAGCTGAAGGCCTTAATGAGCATGCTATTAAAAGTCTAGAGGCCAAACTTTCAACAGTACACTATCACCTATGGCTTCCTTTTATGAAAGCAAAATCATATACTACTTTTGAAAATGTCTCCCTGCTGACTGAGCTTAGATTTTGCTGGTAGCTGTCTGTAATAAGCATGTATCAAACCCCAGCACAAATACAGAAATTCTGAAAAACTGTGACAGCAAAAGCTATGACAGAACATGAGAAGAATGAAGGATTTTTGTTTCAAAGAACCACACATACATATACCTCTTGTGGAAAACCTACTGTGTCATAAAAACACTGTATGACATCACATTGCTGCTTAATGGTTTCAGAAATCAATCTGCTTTCATAAATTCACAGCCACCTGAAGCTGTGTAGACAACTTTAGTTTTAGTTTCCCAAATCTTGGATGTTTCTTGGTGGATTTAACAAAGGTTTTGTTTGTAACTTAATCAGTAGCTCATGCACACACAGGTAAACACAGGAAAAACTAGAGATCTAAAACTAGATATCTGCACCACTTTGGGTTAGAGATCACTGCATTACAATCAAGCAACAGCGATGGGAGTAAAATAATAATTAGTTCTGAATTCAGCCCTAGGCATGTATTACTTAAGTAAAGACTGGACATATTTATACACACATTCATAGCATCACCCTGTTTCAGTGAAATGCGACTAATTTTATACAAAACTTAATTATTTTGTTAATTTCTTCCTCTTTAAAAAATGCCCGTGAGAGATTTCATTCAAATCAGACAGTGTGTAGAGGACATCCCTCTTTTATTTTTCTCCTCAAACCCCAAAACCATTATGATCACAGAAATGGCTGTAAGTAGCTTCACTACCAGCAGTAAGCACACGCACGTACGTACATGTACACACACAGACATACAGACTTTACAGTACAGCCACCTTCTAATTCAGGTCACATTTATGTTAATAAAAGTCTTTTAAGAAATAAATAGTCATGGGCTGATCTTCCAGATGTGATTTCTCTCACTTACCTGAATGACACCACTTCCCTTACTCTGTGCTTGTCTTTTCCTGATGCTCTCCTGCTGCCGGTTCCCAGCTTGTGAGGCCACTCCCAGTAACTCCTATGATTACCTTGGCAGGGTTGTAATTCTTATGATTAAGTTCCTCACTGATTTTTCTAATCCAGTCCCGCCCAGCTTCATCTCTTTGCTGGTCTAGGTCTCCTCAGCTGTCTCCCCAGGGATATCCAACACACAGCTGACAGGAAGGCACACACTTGCAGAACAGGTCTGCCTAGCTTCCACACACCAGCTGCTCATGGGCTGACTACAGACAGGCACAACAAAGAGCCCTCAGCAGGCACCTGCAGTGGGGTTTGAAAGGCACACCAATACAGAGGGACAGTTTATGTAATAAACAGAATTCATATGCTTCTGGCTACAGGTTCACGTTTACAAAGAATGGGCTCCTGGGACAGAAAATCTGCACAAAACCCCCAGGACTCCAGAGGCTGAAAAAGCATTCCATCGGGAACACAGCCTGCAAATGAAGAAAGAGATAAAAGACTAACGATATCAAAACATGCTACAGCAGACAGTAGAAACACAGAGTTTTTCACATTCTGCCTTGTTCCCTGGTGACCCTCCTGCTCAGGCTGTTCATGCATTCTGCCAAAATTCTGGAAAGTCTGGCTTTCCCCTGCCCTTTCCTTACATCACTCTGAGCTCCCCAAACACACCAGACAATATTCCTGAACTTCCCTGTGACCTTTTCCTGCCATGATGGCCTGGGGGTCTCCATTGTGCTTCGCTGGTGTCCTCAGCAGCCGTGGGGTCTAATCTTCATCACACCTCTGCATTTTAGTTCTGGGGACTTTCTTCACAACCAATCCATGTATGCAAGCCCCAGCTGTTGGTCTGCCCTCCCCTATCACTGATAAATCTTGTGTTAAGAGTTTCAGATTTCTGAGTCCTGCTTATGTGAGTCTATACAAGATTATCTGCTTACCTACTTCATAGGAGTGAGAGGCAGCGCATTTCAAGAGTAAACAACATGAGACCTACTTCTTGTTGAGAGCCAAACTTCATTTCACACTCAGAAACTCGATGCAGGTGGCTTGGGGAAGATGCAGCAGATGATGTGAACTCTGCCAACTGTTTTGGCCAAACTCACCTACTCCTATTAACATTTTGTTGCTGCATATAATTATGTTCTTGTGGGGAAAATTTTAGTTGTGGCACAATCAATATTTTTAGGTATCAAAAGACAATAGTTAATTTAAGAGAGACTTCTCCTTAGTATTATTCCTCCAGCTGGCATTAACCCATGTGTGCAAAATGGTGAAAACAGGAATGACTTTTTCATTACTTGATCTCTCTACAGACACTGGCAGGAGTGGGCAAAGTAGTATCAGCAAAATAGTCCTGTGATATGGATTTTTATCCCCTGAGAAACCAGGAGAGACATCTTCTAGATTGAAAATTTTCTTGAAATAGAAAGATCACTACTGCTGCAGAATGTAGGTTTAGACTCTTGATTTCACCTTTCCTCTCATTCTGGTACTAATTTGCATTGACTGTCTGTAGTGTTTTCTCCATGAAGGAGCACGGGATCTGTCTTATACCTCATTCTCCATTAAACAGTAAGTAAAATGCAAATAACAGTTCCTCATTTAAATGAGTTTCTTACTGAAATGAGTTACATTCCACAGGCACCCTCCTCAAGGGCACCTGGAGGAAAACCTTTTCAGATTCCTGTTTAAAAATATGACAACTGAAAATCTTCCTCCTTTCAGTTTCTACACCTCCCTACTGTGGAAGAAAGTGTCAACGGCAAAGGGTTAAATATTCAGGGTAAGCATATGCAAAAGCAGCAATGGCTGCAGCTTTTAATTTCCCCCACCAGTGTCTCTGTTGTGCTCCCAGTCTGACTGGTTGGATATTTTATTGGTTCAGAGTTCAGGCTTCAGCCTATATAATCCTCCTCATTCATCAACATGCCTTTTTCCCTGCTTAGTGAAGTGGCAGAAGTAATTTATTGTCCTGTGAAAAACAGACTTTTCCTGCTAAGTCTTGTATTGTATGTGCATCCACAAAGAAAACATTACTTGTTTAACATCCTCTATTCTTCTGTTTTTTCCTTATGATTAACCACACTGAAGGCAGCAGACTGGCAGTTTTATTAACATAACCATCCTCTTTATCTCCAAGACAGCTGTAGCACACGTACAAACTATCTTAACTGCACACAGCTGCTGCACCATAGCCTCAAGGTGGGTTCTGGGACTAAGCAGTGAACTTCTTGAGTTATTTTCACCTTCTAATATGACTTAAAACTGTGGCTTATAGCTGATAAATTGTGACTGATCTTTTGGTCAACTTAAGCCCACAGAGGTGTAGAAACTCAGAAGATAAGGGGCTAATGTGTAAGTCTCAAACAACAACAGCCAGACAGCTGCAGAGCCAACCACGGATCGCTGGTAACAGCACGCTGTGAGAAAGAACAAGATGTGGCTGGGGAAGGGGCCATGCAGAGGAAGGGCAGCACTTTTATGGGACACACACCCTTGATGTAGTTTCTGCAGATAAGCACAACAGGGCACAGCACAAGAACAATCTTGAAGTGAAAGAAAACCTCCCATCATTATCTCAAGTGTCTGCTCTGCCTCATGAGCTTTGCCTCTGAAAGTAGCATGTTTTCTTAATCAAGAAAAATAACAAGCCTATTTTTTAAATGGCAATTCTGTTGTGATTTTCTGTTCAGCCCTGCAGTATTTGTTATTAGAAATTTCCAAAGGTTGCACCATATGAAAAGAAATAAAGTAGAAAACTGAAATGACCTAATGATTAGGCATCAATCTTCATCAGCCAGCTAAAGGTCCAGTAATTTGCTAGCACTCCCTCTATTCAGGGATTTTACTCAGCTGCTTTTGAACCCCTGCAAAACTTTAGCAACACAATGCTCTGTGATAAAGTTGCATTCATGCAACCTAGGTGAATAAATACTTAATTCTATTTCGAAGATAGAGTCTCATCTTCAAACCAGCTACTCAGTTGGCAGTGAAATGAGTGGTGATTGCAAGAGATGAGTAAGTCTGCTGCATAATAAGAATACTAATATACCAAATAATTTAAAAACAGGACTAAGTTTGTGTTTGTGAGGATGAAAAAGGGTAACAAGAGACAGCCCAAACCATTCAAGGTTTGGATATTGATCTGGAATGGGACATGACTTGGACCACGGACAATTCAGAAATGGGACTCTGCTATAAACCAGGTAATTCCTATCTATTACTCTTGACAAACCTTGAGTCTTGTTGCTCTTTCTGCAGAAAAATTCTAACCTGATTTTGCCTAGTCCTGCAAACACCTTCTCTGGCTTTTTTTGTTTTAATGATACAAAAATCATAGAATCACAGAACAGTTTGGAAGAGACCTTCATAGACCATGCAGTTCCAATCCCCCCACCATGGGCAGAGACACTTTCCAATAGTCCATACAGCCTGACCCTGATCCAGGGATGGGCATCCACAACTTTCTCAAGGCAACCTGTTCCAACTTCTCACCACCCTCACTGGCAAGTATTTTTTCCTTATATCCAATATAAACCTACTCTCCTTAGCCGTGAACCTGCTGCTCGTTGTGCCGTCATTGCCGGCCCTGGTCCGACGTCTCACTCCACCCCGCAGGTAGGGAGAGACTCCCTGAGAAAAGCAGCAGAATCTCCATCCAGCTTTAAATTCAGGGGTTAAGATGTACCTTCTGGGTTACTGTCAGTAAAGTCCCTGACACCACAGCCCATCTGGCGCGGCCGCCCCCGCCACGACTGCGGTTCCGGCGGCTCGCCGTGCCCGGGGGCGGTGCGGGCAGGGCGGGCGGAGGAGGGCGGTCCGTGCTGCGGCGGAGATGAGGGCACGGAGGGTGGGACTCCTCTGCTCCGGGCACGGGGCAGAGGGGTGCTGCGCTGCCTAGCACGGCCGGCCCGGTTCTGTTTGACATCCTCTGTCTTTTTCTTTGTGTCTTATGTCCTTCTCTGTGTTTTTTCTTTATGGTTAAGCACACTGAAAGGCAGCAGACTGGCAGTTCTATTAACATAACCATCCTCTATCTGCGGGACAGCTATAGCACATGTAGAAACCACCCAAACCACACACACTGCTCGGTTGGATGGATGGGCAGAACCCAATAAGATGATGTATAATAAGTCCCAGTGCCGAGTCCTACATTTTAGCCACAATAATCCCCTACAACGCTATAGGTTGGGGGCAGTGTGGATGGACAGTGCCCAGGCAGAAAGGGACCCGGCGGTATTGATTGACAGCCAGCTGAACATGAGCCAGCAGTGTGCTCTGGTGGCCAAGAAGGCCAATGGCATCCTGGCCTGTATCAGGAATAGTGTGGCCAGCAGGAGCAGGGAGGTCATTCTTCCCCTGTACTTGGCACTGGTGAGGCCTCACCTTGAGTGCTGTGTCCAGTTCTGGGCCCTCAGTTTGGGAAGGACGCTGAGATGCTTGAGCAAGTCCAGAGGAGGGCAACGAGGCAGATGAGGGGCTTGGAACACAAGCCCTGTGAGGAACGACTGAGGGAGCTGGGGGTGTTTAGCCTGAAGAAAAAGGAGACTCAGAGGTGACCTTATCAATCTCTACAGCCACCTGAAAGGTGGGTGTAGTCAGGTGGGGGTCGGTCTCTTTCTCCAGGCAGCAACTGACAGAACCAGAGGACAGTCTCAAGCTGCATCAAGGGAAATATAGGCTGGATATTAGGAAAAGGTTTTTTATGGAAAGAGTAATAAAGTACTGGAATTGTCTGCCCAGGGAGGTGGTGGAGTCACCATTCCTGGATGTGTTTAAAAAAAGACTGGATGTGGCACTCGGTGTCATGGTTTACTTGAGGTGTTAGGGCATGGATTGGACTCGATGACCTTGAAGGTCTTTTCCAACCTAGTGATTCTGTCTGTGATGGCGCCCAGAGCCGGCCGAGGCGGCGCTGGAAGCGAGGAGCAGACGGGACACGGTGCCAGGGCACAGCCACAGCCCGGCGCTGCGGAGCGCCAACCGCGCCGCTCCCCCGGCCGCCGAACTCTCACAAGCGATTGTGTTCGTGAAACACAGAATCAAACGAGCTCGCGAGCCCGGGCAATGAGGGGGCAGGAAGGGTGGGCACGGCGGCCGGGCAGTGTTTGGTGTCCCGTTACCGCCCGCGCTGTCCGTGAGGGCGGGCGGCCGTGGCGGCGGCCGAAAGGTGCCCGTGGTGTAGGACAGCACCGCGGCTTGGGCTCTCTAAGGGCTCCGGGGCAAGGGGGATGCCCGGCTAACCTCAGTTTTACCTCGATGTATGAAGAGACACTGGGAACACCTAGCTTCCGAGGTTTGGCACCGGTTTAAAATGCTGTAAAGCCATTACAAACCACCGGTCGCGTTCCTTCTGCACATATCGGCAATAAATCCCGGAAAACAGATACCTACTGAGTCTGAAAAATCATAGGATAAAAACTCTGCAGTGTGATGTATAAAGTCACTACACTGAAGCTCTTCCGTCTCTTTCTTCACAGTGCCGTCCCAGCCATAGATGGTTTTCAGAAAAGGAAATTAAAGGCAAGACTTTGTGTCACGTTTTCGGTGAACAATAAGGTTCTAAAACTCTATCCTTGCCCCAAGCATTTTTACATCCTAGAATTTCATTCCCTACAACTAAGCAGAGGTTAGGGAATCATTCACTTATCTGCCTCTATGGTGACAGAACTCAGTGTTTGTACTTAACTGGCTAGAGACTGCAATTGTGAAATAAATAGTTACAAATGGGGATTTTACAACTAACTTTGAAAATAAGGAGTTGCCCTGGGTCAGAGTATTTGGGAGAGAAGCTGGAAAACAACTGTAACAGGGTAATGAAGTTTGCTAGTGAAGGGTTTGACACAATGATCTTTATTACTGATACCAAAAATATTTATTTTGCACAGGCACAGCGTATTTTAGCTAATTCTTTCTACTAATTTCAAAATGAGTCACAAGTAATATGCAGCATACAGATCACCAGTAACCTTAAGGTCAGATTCTTACTGAATTCACATGTAAACCTAAAAAGTATATGCTTATATTTTTTATTGCAATGTTACTTTGTCTCAACTATGAAAATCAACTCACTTTAGAGTAAAATAAAGCAGGAGATTCCTGGTTTCCTTATAGATGGCTGAATCAGAATCTCAGGAAGGAAGCTATTATAACAGGGGAAAGATGGTGGAGAACTTTAAAACAGATATGGAGGAACTTCTGGAGGAAATGGAAAAACTAGCAGGTATAGGTCTTTGTTAGGAATTATATGGATTTTTGTACTAAAGACACTGAAGATTTATTTTTATATTTATTCTGTAAACTTCTGTGTGATAGAAATGTAATTAAAACAATCACCATCAACTAATGCCGTCGTGTTCTTAATTGTGAAAAAGCATGCAAATAATTCAGGTGGTTCAGATGGACAGAATTAAAAATCAATAGGTGATGCATGCTTAGTTGAGAGTGTTGGTTAAAACCAGAAATATTACTAAGGTGTTTAATGTACAATTATTGAAATATAGTCTGGAAAACAAGACTTAATTCTAAAAAATGGATACATATCACCTCTCAGGTCAGTGTACTATAGTGAATGCTTGGTAAAATAAAAGGGAAAGTATGTAAGCATACATTAGTACATAAGTGCTAAAACTATTTGCTCAGCTTTGTCAGATACTTGTTATTTCAAAGTCAATTCCATTATTTAAGGTACTGATTGTTTCAAGATCAATTTCATTACTTAAGTTGTCCTTAAAATATTTCATCTCTGTTGCAATGTCCTCGATCTTATTCTTCCTCACCTAACACAAGCTGTAACCAGTCTGGAGGGACGATTCCTTATATAATATTCATGTATTTTTAAACACTCTCTTGACCCTTTCCATTTGATTACCTGTTTTGCTGTCATTTTTAGATGAAGTGTCCATCCTTGTTTTGCAATTTACATCCAGGTACTTTCATTATTAACTATTTTGAGACATTTATAAAGAAGTAATACTGAACAGTCTATTTAATCTAGTATTAATGGAGGCAGTTTCTATTTTTTTTTTCATCCTTCTCTGAGGTCTGAACTGATAATAATTCATTTTATTAATTGAATTTGCTTATTGAATTTGTTTATTGAATCAGTCATTGCTTTTTCCTGTCTAGAAAATAGTAATACCTGTTGTGTTTGCAGTGCGTGCAACCTGGATGGCCTACGACTGCGTGGCCATCCAGACCAACCCAGACCTGTCCAATGCCATGCAGCACTTGGAAGATGTCTTCCTGATGTGCAAAGAGCAGATGGAGAAGAAATGGCAAGAGGTGCTACTGGAATCTAGAGGTGAAGAACAAAAAAAAGAAATAAATTGAACTCGGTCATGCTGCCAGAATGACATCCCTTGGAAAATCACTTAGGTCCTTTTTTTCTCCCAGCTGTGGAGGTTTCACAGGCACTGTGGGAAATGGGCTTTCCTCTTGCTAAGAACTACTTATTTGTGAATGTCTGCGGAATTATTTTAATGACATTACACACATAGCTTCATATAGTTGAGAGTAAAATGCAGCAGTGTGTGTATTTGCATGCTGCCCATCAGTAATACCTGTAGAGTTTGCACACAAAATTGACACACCCTCTGACCTTTTCCCCAGAAGATCATACTCACCCCATGGTCAGTATAACTGGAATTCTTAGAAACCTGAACAAACTGGGTGGATGGGGAGCAGGGGTGCTGTAGAGGACCAGCCTAGTCGCATTGTACTAGCCCATGCCTTTCAAAGAGAACTGAAGAATTGCTTATTTTCCCAAATGAAACACAGGTTAAATTCTAGATCTGCAGATAGATTTAGATGGTTTTATTTAGTATTATCATCTAGGTGTTCAATTACATAGTTTTATTATTTAGGTAGATCATCTACAGTTGTTGCATCTTCTTTCATTAGATTTTTAACCATTTTTTTGAACTGATTTCCCCAGAAAGATTGTTCCTCTCAAACCCTATGAAGGTGGCATGAAATAAAATTTTTTTTATAATTATAGACTGCAGTGAGTGTGGTGACATTGCTGCAGAAACCAAACTAACCATGTTATAAAATATGCTTCTCTCCATATGTTCTTACTGTGAAATACTATAAAAGGACAAAAAATTTCTTCTTTAGTCAGGATGTCGATTAAGAGCAGCACCTCATGGTTTGTGGTTTTGCATAATGAGTAATTTATCAGAGATGGAATTCAGTGCAATAAGTTTTAAGGATTTTCTCTTTTATTAAAATCAGTCTCTTTTAACTAGAAAGTAACCGCCATGCAGCAAGTGAGAGCACCTCCATCTCCTCTGAAGAGGTAATGATTTAAATCACATCTAAATAATCCCTGAAAGTTTGCCAATGTTTAGGTTGTGTATTTCTTTGAGAGTGGTTGATCTAAATTCAGACAAAATGTTTATCCACTGAAGTAAAAAATATATAGTCAATTTAACTTTGGGTTTGTTTGTTTTTTAACACCAAGTATTTCTAGAGGTACAAATGGTAAGAACAAACTTTGAATCTACACTTGACTTTCCCATGGGTAGGTCTTCACTTCTCCCCAAGATTTTCTTTGCAGTTATGTGACGATTATGAGAGGAAAGTTAGGGATAGGCAGCAGTGCTTATTCCTAGAAAAACTATACAGCAAGATATTTGTATTTTAACTTAACAATTTTTTTCCTTTATTTATTTATTGGGTTATTACTTACCATCTACCCTATTTCAGCCTCCCTAGAGCCTGCAGGAGAACCCAGATAGCCCACATTGCAACACCTTTATTTCCTGTCACAGGGGTGCATCCATAAATTTCCAGAAAAAAATAAGTGGAGTAACAGCCCCATCTAGTGCTCACAAACTGTGCTAGTAAAGTGGATTGCTGACATCTCTTAACTCCCCAGCACCCATTTTCTGTGATGAGAAGTGTCAGCAGTAGCATGGTGTTTAACACTGCAATGCTTTTACCATCCATGGCACAGCAAAATTTACTGATCTTAGTTATGCACTGCACCTGTTGGCAAGTCAAGAGGCTGATGCCCAAGAGTAACCTATCCAAGAGCCACCAAGTGGAGCCATAAGTATTCTCAATATTCTGTTTTAGAGTTTCCATTATCAGTTTCTTACCAAGAAACACATGAGACTTATACAAAGCCTCCTGTATAATTCCAATGGAAATGTGCCCTTCTTTCCAGTCTAAAACAACTGAAAGGGGGCTGAAATGAGAACATTTCACACTCAGGCATCTTGACCATGTCAGAACATGTCCTAGAGCTCTGTTTAGAATATTTATTTCATTTACTACTACTGCCCTCCAGTTCTTCATTATAGCCCCAATTACATCAGAAAGGCTCAAGAATCCATATGAGCTGTTCTACCTTTCAGTATATTTTCAAAATTTCAGTCCAGATTCTTGCAGCAATTTTTCCTGAAACTGAATCTAACACCTCTATTTGCACATACTACTAAAATAATTATATTTTTTTCTGAACAAGAACTGTATCACATAGGCACTACTGGCATGAAAGCGGCAGTGTGTAATTGATTAATTTTAAGGACCTTTGTGGTCCTCTTCAAGTCACCATTTACAAGTCAAAAGTTACAGCCAAACATTGAAGAATAATGTATTTTGACACGAGTCAGAAAATATAATGAAGCTCTGAGTCTTTTCTATCACATTTTAAAACCTTAAGATATTAATAACTCATCTCATCAGCTGGTGGTACTAAGTCATCAAGATCCATTTTTTGCTCAGTGCATCATTGTCCTGCTCTAGGACTAAAAATTCAATCACAGCAGCCTTGCTCCATTATTGCAAACAGCACAAAATAGAAAGTTTAAGCTACCACTTATCTGACACGGCCTCCAAAATCTTCTCATCCCCTTTACACCTGCGAAAGGATCCCACTGCCACTTGGCTCACGCAGATGATTTTCCCTATAGCTCTGAGGAGTTCAGAGCATGGACTTTCTCTCTACAAAATCACAGTGGTACTGAAGGCTCATTGGTTCTCCAAAAAGCCAAACCAGCAGAAAGCAGAATGATGTCTAAAGCCATGGCTTTGAACTCGGCATCTGCAAAGAGACTGTAAAAAATCCACAGCAAGTAAGTCAGACATCCACAGCTGTTGTCACACGCCTTACAGCAAACTATGTAGCACAGGCTTTATTTCCAGAGCTTTTTTCCAACAGAAAGTGTTTCACTTCCAAGGCACTTGTAGCATCTGTGTAGCTCTCCCATGGCAGCAGCACTGTCTGAGACAGAAGCTTACAGTACACCTATCTCTCCAGACTGAATGCCTTGTATTGCAATTATGTTCAAATGAAACAATGCACAAAGGAAGGCCTACAGAACTGTCTTCTTCCTTTCCTTATCCTCCTCAAAAGTTCACAAGCCACAGAGAATGTTTTTGCAGCACATCAGCTACTCTGCAAATTCAAAATCCGTGGAGCAAAATGTCTTTGTAAGAAATCAAACCAACACAACACAAACTAAGCGCTCATCTGAAATTCTGCTTGAGGCAAATAACCCTAGCCTTCTTTACAGCACAAGCACCAGCTGCCAAGAGAAATTACCCTCATTATTGAGCACCAGGTTTATTTTTTTTTTCTGGCAAATTCAGCTAACAAGAGCATAAGAGGCCTAGTAAAGGAACAATTTATGTACAAGCCCAAGACATCTAAGATGTAATTTTAGTAAGTGCTTTAAACTTCACTAGAGTTAAGCTTACATTTTCATAATCAGGGAACTGAGGGAAGTAGGTTATGTCAGTCACTGGCTTCTGCTTTATGCAAACATTCTTCTTACTAGAGGCAGGACAGAAATAACAATGACAAATATCCAACGCTAGGACATTACTTGCATCTCTCCCTCACTTTCTCCATTCATATAAAAAAAAAAAAAAAAGATGGCTAGTTAGGTACTTTTGTTAACCTGATTCAATCTGACCTACATTTTTGCAGAGATTAACAAAATTCTCTTTAGCCTGTCAGATCTCTCAAGCAAAAACACCGAATGAAGGCAGTTCAAGTAGTTTTTATGACATGTCCTGCAGTACTATTTCAGTATTTATGAATATCTTGTATCCGCTTGTTATGGTGAAATTATCAACCTCTCCCCAGTATGCCTGCACATTTAGTTTGGAGCAAAATTTAAGCCTAAAAAACTTTATCTGCTTAAGAATTTTTCTAAGGTACCATTACTTATATTTTCCTCACCTTATTGCATTTTATTTTGTGTCAAAACAGACATATTTCTTCATCTTCCAAGTGAAGATTTCTTCCTCAACCAAGCCTATGGCTTTCACTTCACAACTCATTAAGAGGTTCCTAATCCCTTGCAATTCAGTCAGCTGTAATCAATGCAGCTCAGGCAACACTCAGCCATTTCCTACCCTCCTTGTCCCCAAGGCAAAGGCAATAGGCTGTAAGGGCCCTTCCTCACCTTCCCAGAAGCTGGAAGCAAAAACCTTTTGAGTGCAATTATGCCCTGCACTGTCTGCTCAATTTCTGAAGAATAACAGGACTGTCTGAGAAACAAATACGCTTATCTAGGATTTGGGTAACAACAACTGCAAGACAGTGAGAAATTCTGGACTAGACAATGAAGGACACAAGAAATGCACCCATATTCAACAGCTGGAAGCAGACTGATAACACCTGGAAGACAGCCAATTCTTAGGGAGGAACATTAAAAAAACATTGATATTATAAGATAGCTCAGTACTTTGCTCATTAACACAAGATGGCAGAGGTACAGAGATTTTACTGGTTTGAAATAAAAAGTGGAGATGCCAGTCAAACATTATTCAAAACAGAAGCTTAGATAAAATGGTAGTTACTATGCCAGTGTCCTTCCTGAGCAATCTCAAACTTGGATTCTACTGTTTACACAACACAAAAGCCTAGCAAAACAGATGAGGATAAAAAACATTCCAGGAACTCACTCCACATCCCCCAAACACCTGCCACAGAACAGTAACAGGAAAACCCAACTATTAAACATCATTAGAGCCAAAGGAACAGAGGGAACACTGTTAATTTATAGCAGTTTCGTGATTTCTTTGCAGAAGTTTTGTATTAAAGTATATCCACCTAGCCATGCTCAGGTATCATCCAGCAAGACACACCAAAGAGGCAGCTCTCCTTCACATATAAACACTGAAGGAACAAGATTAAAATAATGAATTATTTTAAAAGCAAACATGAAAAAACACTCTAAACCAGATTTTTTTCTTCGGTAGTTGAAATCACTTTTATTTGCGAGGAACGTCACCCATACTGCACAGTTTCAAAAAGATCTTAACAAGGAAAGCAGAAGTTTGTCCTCCCCATGTCCTGCAGTGAACAGGACAGGCACAGAAAAAAAACCTCACACTTGGGAGGTTTAGCACCAGCATCCAATAAAAAAAGCATTTTATTTCAATTTTAGTTCTTTGGTTGGCTTTTTTTCCCTTTTCAGTTTGATACCAAAAGAAAAATTGAAAAAAATCAATACTAGCAAAACAGTTAAATTCTAGGGAAAAAAAAACTCAAAAAGCTCCATAGTTGCTATTGAAACTAGGGAGGGTGTTCTTTCTGAATCTCGCTCTCTTTCTCTCTTCATGCATCTATCTTCTAGGTGTTCCCTGGATCTCAGCTGCTGGTAAGTTTTCTTTTACATTTTGGTATTTCAAATCTTTCCTTTCGTCATCACTGTTGACAATTTATTGCTTGTGTGTTTCTTTGGTGTTACTTTTGAGTTGTACTTTAGGACACCTGTTGAAGAGCCACATGTAAAAAAAAAATGCAGTTTAAGTTTCTTGTCTCAATAAACAGAATGAGATGTCAAATGAAAAGAGTTATAACAGGTAGGATAAGCACAACTGGCTTATCCTGTCCATAATCAGGATCTTCCTAAAATAAAATAACTCATCAGTAGATACTATTACTATACAGACCAGAGAACTTCCTGGAAAAAAAATAAATCAATTATAAAGTAAAACTTACTTTGTGACAAATACAGAGGCAGAAGGAAGAATGAAGAGAAAAGCAGTATCTTGGTTTGCCTCTACAGCACCCTCAGAACTTATCACAAATATCAAGCCATATGTAAGGGTATGTGGCCAGAATATCCTAGAAGAATACACATTCTGCTTTCATTGGGAAACAGAACTGTCCATATTCCTTACCTGAGCGATGGTAAAGGTGCCTGGGGAGCCGGACATTACTCAGCGCCACTCTGCTCTGTCACTGGAGCAGAATTTTCAGCAGGTGTTTCAGTTGCCTTTGTCTGAGACACAACAAACTCTTATTATAGGCAAAGGCTGACCTCCACACCCTTCCTCTCTTCAGCAGTACAGCCAGCAGGTTTTAAAACAATCAAGAAAAATGCATCTCCAGAAGACATTAAATTTTAGTCTATTTCTTGCAATTATTACACAGCATATTCTGTCAAAGGAACACCTGAAGTCGACACTGAATGAGAGAATCTTTCCTCATTAAAGTAGAATCTGTGTTTGAAAACAGTTTCCTGAAATTATCTGGCTCAAACAGTTCAGGAAATGGATCTAGAGCTTTCATATCCATCACACATGCTACATACAGAGTTAAGGTTCGTAGAAGCAGGAAAACACAACTGCTTCCACGTCAAAAATACTTGTTACAGTTTGGCCCCAATTAAGAACTATCTAGAAGCAATCCCTATCCCACTGCCAGTTCCTTTTAAGATAAGGTGCTTATTCTCAAAGAGAGTCAAAAGAAGCAGGCAAGGAAATCAGCATGTCAGATTTGGTCATCAGACTTATCCAACACATGAATACATTTATTAAAAACGCCCACAGGGCAGAAGGTTTTGGGCATTCACCCCATTAAAACCTCTGCTACATACAATCATAAAATCGTTTGGGTTGGAAGGAGACCTTGAAGATCACCTCATTCCAACCATCTGCCATGGGCAGGGACACCTTCTGCTCCAGGCTGCTCAGAGCCCCATCCAACCTGGCCTTGAACTCTTCCAGAGACTGGGCAGCCACAGCTTACCTGGGCAACCTGTGCCAGGGCCTCAGCATCCTCACAGGGAAAAATTTTTTCCCCTCATATCAAATCTAAACCTACTCTCTTTCAATTTTAACTCATTGCCCCTTGTCCTGTCACTCCAGGCCCTTGCAACTGTCTTGGCTCATCTTTCCCTTCAGGCCCTGGAAGGCCACACTGAGGCCACCCCAAAGCCTTCTCTTCCCCAGGCTGAACCACCCCAATTCCCGCAGCCTTCCCTCGCAGGAGAGGTGCTCATGCCTCTCAGCAGCTCACTAGCCATACCTCTTTGCCCTCCTGTGCCAGAGCACTGGCTGGGCGCGGCCGGCGCCGGTAGTTGTAGGGGCGCCGGTAGCTGCGGCGCAGCGGCTGCTGGCTCATGGCATTGGCCTCATGATGGTTCTCCTTGTTTTCAGCCTCTCCAGTCACTGGGGCAGGGCGTGGGCGAGGGGGCCCTCTGAGAGGGGCAGAAAGAGGTGTTAAGAACAAAACCAAGAAAGGTTAAACTACAGTAATTTTAGCCCAGCAAAATCTCCCAAAACCAAGTATCATCCTCAACAGTTTTGAGTGCTAGCAAACCATCCCTTCAGGGTTTGGCTGGAATATGGTTGGAAAGGAAGGACAAGGAAAGTGGGTGTCTCTTCACTGCTGAAGTTACATCGCCATATTCTGCTGTCTATCCTGCAATGAAGATGCAGTTAGCACCTTTGAATTGCTGGCGAGAAGAAGAAACATGCCAGTAGTGGCCACACAGGCTTATTGTGCTAAGTTAGCTTTGGCATGGCTACATACCAGCCTTGTCCTATTCCTAATTAATGATGGAGTCCTTGCAATCCTCCTCACTTCTACCTGAAAACCATTCCTGGATCTTGGCTCTTTGCCTCATGTCACCTCTCTTAACCAATTAGGAAAAACACCTATCACAGGTGAGCTGGACCTGATTAACACTAAGCTATCAAGTATACAAGTATATATATCTTGATGTATACAAGAGCATTTCACTTATTTCTAGTATAAACAATGTTTATAAACTTTTCAAACACAGCCAAAATCCAGTTCCCATTAGCTAATTCACAGCTACCTAGTCCCAAAAAACAATTTAGCTTTTCCAAAGGAACCTAACAAAAGTGCCAGTGTCACTGGATTGAGTGCCTGCAAACAAAAGCAATACCTGTGAACTCAAACAGAAGCGTTGTGCACTGATAGGCTGTATCATTCCTCTCATAGGAAAATTGCATCAGAAAATCACAAGTTTCCATTAGTCATGGACAAGTTACTCAGCCTGTGATTCAACCACATGACATGCAAAAGTCTCACTGAACTTGCTATGGTGCTATCTCTGACTGCCCAAAACTAACGAAGACTATCAGGAATTAAATTTGGATTAAATTAAGCTTGGATGCTAACAAGCAGCAAGCATCAGTAGCATCCCATTTCCCACAGTCCCAGATAAAAGAGCCAAATTGAACATGAATATGCACAAACAGAAAAGCCCAAACTAGAGGTGGAAGGCTTGTTGTTTTAGACCCAGATTCCAAAAGGATGGATCCATTGTGCATGGAACAGGCAAGTCATTACAATTAAGAACAATCTTGTTATCCCTACCAAATTCAGCATGTTGCTGCTCTTGCACTGTTATTCACCTCTTTTTGTTTTTGAACAGACATGCACATGAAAAAATGGGGATTACATAATTTTCATAGTTCATCTCTAAATTCTGTATTGGAATTTGACTTCATAAGCTACTTGATAAACAAGGACAATATGATGATGGGCAACTGAGTGAATGGCAGACAAACGAGCTCCCTGAGGACCTTTAAAGGCCATTTGTCCAACTCCTTTCAACAAGACCAGGTTGCTCAGAGCCCTCTCCAACCTGACCTTGTAAGAGGCATCTACCACCTCTCTGGGCAACCTTTTCAGTAGAACACTGTTACAGTGTTCTATTACACTAATAGTAAAAAAATTCTTCCTTTCATTTATACTGAATCTATTTTAGTTTAAAACATTACCTCTCATGCTAACAAACAGGCCCTGCTAATAAGTTAATCTCCATCTTTATTATAAGCCCCATTCATGTACTGGGGAGTCAACTCCCTCAGCCTGCTGGTCATGCTGCTCCTGCTGCAGCCCAGGATACGGGCATCTTTCTGGGCTGCAACTCCACATTTACCAGCTTACACACAAGTTTCCACCCACCAGCACCCCCAGCAGGGTCCCAGATAAAGTATTTGGGTTATTACTTATCCAGAAAAGTACGAGTGTTCAGCTGGGAGGACATGGACACTGCAGCTCACTTCAATATGTTGCTCAGTTGTGAGAAGTAATGAGATGCTAAGAATTCCTTGCCCTTTCTGGGCCATTATGATTCTGAACATATAAGCACATGAAAAAAAATTTTCCAAGTAATTAAAATGCTTCTCACTGTGCCTACCATTTGTGTAAGTGTTCCCACACTTGGAAGCCTCTACAGAACACAAAAGCATCTGAGTAACTGAGCAGAGGAACTGTACAGACCTACAGACCTGCGATAGCGGGGACGGTAGGTAGGATTCCTGTGCACTTGCTGAAGTTGTCCTCCTTCTGTGACCCCATCCTTGACTTCTCCCTCACCACCCTGCTACCAAAAGAAAACAAGTGTTGTATTTGACAGGCAGTATATTAACCAAAACCCTGAATGCAAGCCCAAAGCAAATAGATCAGTACAGAAATCCCAGCATATTGGGTAAAAAGAAGCAGCAGATTCTCAAAAGGCTTAAATTTGGGCAAAGTTAAGATGAGGACAAAACAGGAGCCATCAGTGCTGCTCCTGCTCCTCACAGACTAAGAAGCTGTTCTTAGAACATTCTCTCTGATACATATTAACTGCATTTCACTACATGAAATGCACTGTAAGGGATACATGTTATGGCGAGGCAGCTACTGATCAGGACAATTATTTATTTGAAAAACTAAAGACATCACACAGAAATTTGCCACTGACCACTTCACATTCTACACTAAGCCCCATTCCACAGGGACCGCCCCAAAAAAACATCAAGAAGTTTTAAGATAGATAAACTGCATTACCTCACATCAAACACTCTTTCTACACAGTCCTTTCAATCTTTCAGAGATGCAGTGGTTATCTTTCCCCTTTAGTTGTTAATTGATAAAGCTGCATGTTGGTTTGGGTGATTTTTCTGGTTTGATTTTGGTTGTGGTTTGTGTTTAAATGCTAGCCATCAGTAATGTCTGTTTTTATAAAGTTACATGTATTATTCTTCCCCTTAAAAGAAGGAATTTAACAAGATATCTAGAAACAGAAGTGCATCTTCTGCATCTGATCCAGTAGGAAGATAAAACTGTAGCCTCCTAACAGCTCTTAGTAGTCTACCTTAAGTTTGACAGGTATCCTTCCCATTCTGCACAGCCATTTTAACCACCATGACCATACACAATTAAAAACCCTGCAATCATCTGTGATGTTCTCTCATGTATTAAACTTCAGGATAAATAAATATCCAAAGGAACTAGGATAGATAGTAGGCACAGATAGTATCCAACAGTAGTTGAGATATAATTGAGAGACTCAGAACTCAAAAAAATAACATTTCTCAGTTCACAACAGCTTTATAGTGCTTATCCACTTTGCAATACCAAACTGTTCTGGTTTTCTCAAGATACCTTGTACACCGTAACTTGAAAGTTTATTAGACATATGTTGCATGATCAGAAGTGCCTCAGACAGTCAAGTGAGAAATAGCCCTGCCAGTATTGTGTGTGGCAGTAGCAATGCAGGGAAAGTGAACTCACACTCCGAGGTGGGCCCCGGCGTCGGCCAAAGTAGCCCCGTCGATAGCGGCGCCGGTCTGCAGCGTAGCGGCTGCCTTCCACAGGGACTCCATCTGGACCAGTGACATTAGCTGCTTCTGCACCCTATAAGGGCAAAAGAAAGGTAGCCAGGGTGGTATGAGAAAAGAACAACCAGCTACAGGGAGAATTTGAAAAAGAAAAGAGCCTTTTTTGCTCAAGTTCCAAGCTACAGTGATTCCTTTCTCATGCACAAGGCAAATGGAGGTTTGTTATTTCCAGCCCCTTAACCAAGAGAATTATCATGAGTTAAGATACTGAAATCCTATCCAACGGCCTGAGTTTAGAGGAGGAAGCAAGAAGGAACTGACAGACAAAAATAAACCTCAAAAAATATCCAGGAAAGTAAAAGCATAAGGAAATTGAAAGTTCTTACAGTTAGGCTACCAGACTCTAAGACAAATTGTTCAAGGCAATATAGGCCTCAGTTAATTACAATTACTGGGCAGGCTGTAGGCTTCACATGTTCTCTCAAGTAACAATTGCAGATTCCAGAAGCACTAGGATGCAGTTTCCTAGTAGTTTTGATACGTATCTAGAAATATGCCTTAATGACACCTGACAGATTTCCCCCAGAAAAGCTGTATGAATGCCACCAACTCAGTGGTTAACACATCAGACAGAGACATCAAAGACACAAAGCTAAAGTTGCGTGATGTTATCTCTGTTGCACAGCACCCTGAGACTCCAAGATCTCTCACCTTCTCTCCCTCAACCACATCAAATTCTACAGTCTCTCCATCGCCAACGCTGCGCAGGTACTTCCGTGGATTGTTTTTCTTTATCGCCGTCTTGAAAGGAAGATGCATAAAAAATATATTATGTTACTTATCTTACACATTCTTAGCCCCACAGATGAGGGAAGGGCAGTATTTCTCTGCTACAATTCCAACTCTACACACTAGAGCAGTCACCACACTAAGCTATTTCAAATAGACGGATGCCTCTAATTTCACAGGCCCACCAATACTCAGTTCAAGGTCTCCTCTTCTCTCACTATTTATGAGTTCATAAATCAGCTGCTTCCCCAGTATCTGCTCTGTCCAGCACACCGGATATGGAAATTATTGCAAATCTCTGCATGAACAGAGTGCATACTCAGTGCCTGATTTCCTCCAAGCTGAACCAAGGCAGTACTAGCAGCAAGTGTGATTCCTGCCTTCAGTCATTAGGAGGGCTGTAGACCATCTAAAGAGAACTCAAGACCCAGAGCATTTCTGTAGAAGCATTAACTATATGGTATCATGGCAAGTCATAGCAACTAGAAAAGAATTACTGTAACTCTGGTGTAACAAATTAGCATTTTATTGAAGCACTGTAAATGAGACCCCAAATATTAGGTGAGTCTATGATAACACAGACTAGTACCAGAACAGACAGATGGAATCTTAGCCATCCCCTGGACAGAAAAGTACTACAATAATAGCTATTAATAATAATACTATTATTGTTACATAAAAATAACAACATGGGTTTGGATCAAAGCCAGTTGTACACCTCCTCAGACTCATAGGAAACACTCAAACCTCCTGGAGCGATTTTCAGTCTGTCAGCTACAAACACCTTGCTTGTACTCTGTGGAGTATTTCTAAGACTCCACAAAAGGCTTTTTATCAAGACAAGCCTATGGTCTGTTCATTAGGCAAGGCTTTGCAAACTGGAAGACACCAGGGAGAAAAGACCAAGACATGCATTGTACAAGCTAACCCAGTAGCTATTTTCTTACTGAAAGATTATTATCTTGCACTAGATTATTAAAGACCAATTCACATTTTGTTTCCTGATGTGGGAACCTTTAGTTAGCATGAAGGAGGGAGGTGCAGAGCCAGCAAAGAGAAACACACATGGAAACACAGGGCATAAATCCGGCTTAAGAAATCGGATGTAGGGCAGACACAGGAGAGCCAGTTGTCCTATCTGTCTGCAGTTCAAGAAAAACTGCAGAATGACTATCAGTGGAGCTGTTACCTTTGCATAGCAACAATATTTATTCAAAAACAGCCCCAAAACATTTCCAACTGAAGGAAAAATTTATTCAGTTTAAAGCTCATCTTGACCAGTCTAGGAAACCTACTTTCCTTGCTGCTCAATACAGTCTCCTTTGTGTTTCAGGCCACAGACCAGCATGTCCTTCTAGCCATACCTTTCCCTATATCCTGCAGCATCCCTGAACAGCCTAAGGAAGGATGCAAGAGTGTACATACTATAATTGTCAAAGCAAAAACATTCCAAGAGTTTTGAGTTTTTTAATACAGAAACAGAATGATCTGTTCAAGTCAATTCCTATGGGAATTACTTTAGCAAGCAGACTCCACAATTATCTCAAACAACTTTGTTTGCTTTCTGCTGACCTTTTAGTGTAACTGTCCCATTTCTAAAAATCAGATCAAAGTGTTTGCTTTTCCATAAATTTTATATACTAGTACTAAAACCCTTAATCCACACCAAAGTTAATGATTTAGTACTATTTGTACTGAAACAACTGACTAAAACTTTTTAATACTTGTGCTTTGCATGTGACAGATGTCAATAAGCTGTATTTCAAACTCCTTCCCCTTCCCTGTAAGTGCAGAAGAAGAAAGGACTAAGAAATTTATTTTCAGCAGAGTGTACATGTAAGATAGATAAAGCTCCTCAAATATCCTTCAAAAAGCTTAATGAAAGACAAAAGCAACAGTATTCCACATGTTCTGTTCCCAGCTTTATGGGCAGAAACTTCAAGAATCCAGATCTGCAACTGCCAACAGAAGGTGAGAGGCTGCAGTAGGCTGGAGCTTGTTTTATAAAGGCAATCAGGACAACTTTGAGTAAATCCCAGAAATCCAAACAGAAACCCTAAAGCTTTACTACTTCAGCTGCAGATAAACATCACTGAAATAAGCCTCTAACAAGCCTAAGCTCTAAGCTTGATGAAGAGACTTTTACTCTGTGTATCCAGAGGGAAGAGAGCACTATTCTCCCTGTTACTGTTTAGCAGCATCCTGTAGGCTCCAGCTTCTCTGATTCAGAAGACACGTTTCATATTAACAGACAACACTCAACAACAAAGCCTTTCCTTTCCCAGGGGGAACACTGATGAACAGGCAACCAGAAAAGCCTCCAGAGCTAGTTCAGGTTCTTGTTTGAAAGAGTTCTTTCCATATGCTTATACCACCACATCATCAGCACATCCAGCATTGTCCCAGTAACAGCCAAAATTTATTACACTGATTCCTGGTGCAGGTACTTCAGGCTGTGCATGATCAACACAGTCCAGTGAAGTGAAGAGAAAGAGATTAACTCCTCCTCACAGCTCGTTGATTTAAACTCTACCTAATTAAATGTAACTGCTCTGGCTACTGACACTTTTCCAGTTGTTAAATTGTGAGACACACTGCAGCCCACGAGGCAGATGGACCCCTTCTGCTCACAGCACCTGTAGTTGACTGACACAGTGGCCCTGGACAGCACCTTGCACCAACCAACCAGACAGGGATGCTAAGTGAAGAACTGCCCTTCCCAAAAACACTGCCTGGGGCCCCTGGAAGACAAAGGGTTAACTCAAAGCAAGCCATGCATGCCCTAAAAAGAAAAGCATTTTAATCTGCGCTAGTTATAAATAGCAACCAATAGCCAGACACCGAGCACTAACCCTCATTCCAATCATGAGATCGGGCCCATTCCCTCCCCGTGCAGATGCATGCAGGGGAGGCAGGGAGAAGCTGTATCTATTCAACTAGGTCAGCCTTATTCTGAAGGGATTAGGAGTGTAATCCAGCTCCTCCCAGGCACAAGGGAGGGGCAGAGCAGGCACTATCAGTGCAGAGAGAGCTTGAAGCAGGATGTTTGCTCACAGCATGGATTTGCCCTCCTCCTCAGACAGCCTCATCAGGAGCTCTGGCCAGAATGTCTCAGGCTCTGGGACCGAGCACATCCATGTACAGGATGAGGAACATCTGCCTGCTGCCAAACCAGAGCAGCACTAGAAGCCTCTACTCTGCCATGCTCAGCCTGCCAACAGGGTTAATCTAATGCAGGTCTGCACATGATGTGGTATTTCTGAAACAAAGCCAGTTTTGCTCACATCATAAGGACTTCAGCCACAGTAGATGGGAAGTGCCCACCCCTCTCCACACACACCCACCAGTTTACATTTAGGGGAATAATCTCCTCTACAGGTGAAGGAGACAAAATAGAACAGATAACACTACCTTTCTGTTTGGGTCTCAGCTGGCAGCCCTCTCAAGCAGAATAACACTGATCCATGTTATCTGTCATCAGCACAACAGCCATTTTCCAGTAGATTGTCTCACAAGTATCAAGGAAACCTCATTTGTCTTTAAGGCAGTGCTGCCTATCCAGAACATGGTTTTCTTCCAGAATTGTTCCCACCCTCCTCTGGACACAATCCCACCAGACCACAGATGTGTCAGCATGTCCACAGCACAGGCTGCTAAGGAAGGAAAATTACCATCAAAAATCAGTACATGCATTGACAGGTCTTGCTCTCAAGCCCACCAGCTGAACCAAGAACATGTACTGTGCACACTTCCCAACATAATTTTCTCTCATAACAGGCACTAGATTTATCCCCTTTCAGCTCCAGCCAGGTTCAGATAATGGATGTACACCCTATAACCCAGAGAACAGCTACCACTGTTACCACTATTTAGTCATCAAGACACAAGAACTAAACTAACTCTCAGTGTTGACTCACCAGCTAAGGATATACACACAAATTCTCATTCTCAGTGACCAGCTCTGGGAACAAACTTTCTGGTTACATTTGATAGAAATACTGTCACACCACAGAGAAAGCTCATGCTTTCAAAGATCACATGAGCCTGCAGACATTTTATATGGGACAAACTCTAGGGGCAAGATTGCACTTTCTGTTGAATTATGCAAAACCAGATCTAAGCCAACTAATCATTTGACATCAGCATGGAGACAGCATCCCCTGTCTTGCCATTATTTGCCTGCAACCTGAGAGTCACAGTATAAACTTAGAACAGCCTCCTGACAACTCAAGGAAAGTTAGCCAATAACAAGCTGCTGGGCAAGCTCTCTCTGCTTGGGCATACTTGGCACACACCCTTCCTCTTCTTCTGCCTAAGAGCAGCTGCTTTGTGCAAAAACAGCTGATGGCAACCCAGGCTGGTCAAGAGCCAGACTAGATCACTTTCTCTCCAATACCAGGGAGGGCAGACAGAACAGACCCGCAAGTGAAGAGGGTAGGAAGAAACAAAAGGCACGAGCATGAGGAAACGGGGGAAGGACGGACAACAACAGCAAGGTATTCACAGAGGAGTCATCTCACCAAGGGGAGCTGACCAAACAAAACCCACACCAAAAAATACCTTTAGTGTTCAAATTAGAGCAGGCAAAAAGGGTTAAGAAGGGGTAAAATACCTAGCCCTTCACAGAGAAGGAAAACAACCTAACATTTCTCCCTGAAAATTTCATATATAAAACATATACAGCCACTCAAGTTATCTGCAGAAAATATTCTAAGGAGAAGCCAGGACAAGGTTGTGTAGCTGTTGCATGAAGCTGCATTAGAAACCAACCACAGCACACATGTCTAAGCACAACTCCTGCTATCTTACCTGATGAACAAACACATCTTCTTTGGTATCATTTCTGTGAAAAGAAAGTGAGAAGTCATAAGAGTTTAGACTAAAGAGACTTTAATAGAAATTCCTGGCTTCTTAAGTGAAACCCTCCTTCTCCCAGCCTGAAGCACATGCCCTGAATTCCATACATTCTGTCTAAGCCTATGCTACCAAAACCCTGCTCTGAACTTCTACGGTCATTTGCTTGAGAACAGAAAGGGTTCCCGGGCCTTCAAAAGCATGAGAGGACGGAGGAGATTGTCTAATCTTCTGGCAAATATGCAGTGTTTTCTTTTTACGCAGGGCAGAGTTGATGACTGGACTGCTTGTTTTTCACTACTCTAACGCCCCAAAAACACTTCCGGAGGGACTGCAACCTGAGCTGTTACCCCAGAGGTCAAACGACTATCAACAGGACTGGCCACAGCTGTTAACAGAGATCTCCTTTCAGTGAAATTCAAAGCAAAGTGGCACAAGAGGTGTTGGGAAAGTCCACAGGAGGAGGACCCAGACACGAATGTGATGTTTTCTGGATTAAGCCAGACACTTCAGGCTTCCACATAGAAAACACAGAGATAAGTCTGAGACCTTGAATCTGTGTTCCTCCCCATACAATAAAAAAGAGCCTAAGCCCTGCCATCTGTTCACTCAATTCCTTCTCAGCAAACAGAACAGGTGGGTCAAAGAGTTTGTGAAAATAAAGCATAATCCCAAATTTGTTGTCCTGGATTGAAGCAATAGTAGACTTCATGTTAGGAAGAAAGCGAACAAGTTATTACACCACAACCAGGTGAAGGCTCTTACATCAACTGCTATTACAGATTTTAATAGGACTTCCTAATTAAAACTCTTCTTCTAAGCTTATGTAACACTGGATAATAACCTCCAGAGACTGAGATTAATACCACGGCTGGCTTCAGATCCATGAACATGGGGTCTTCTACCCCTTTCTGTACTGTCCAACTCACCCAAATCTGCCTGATGTGTAAAAGCTCAAAGACTTGCAGAGTGAAATAACTTGCCAGGTATGTTTTTTTTAAGACAAATGTTCAGCATGCAACAGTTTCATTCCTCAAAAAAGCACACAAAACATTTAAGCCACTCAACCACAAAGATATTTCAGCCTTAAAAGCCAGAGTTTCCTCCAGTAAATTGGAAGCATGGGTCTTCTGCACCTAAGGTTACAGATGACCAATCTCGCCTACAACTGTTTGTATTCTCAATGCTATTCAGAGATTTGTTTGTGCCCAGAGAAGAGGGAAAAAAACCAAAAGATACAAAGAGAAAATTTCTATGAAACCCAGGCCCGGCATATTTTCAGTGAGATACTATCAGAGAATCTCAATAAGTATCCACAGGAGGTATTCTGACCAAGCAGTTAACACTTGAAGTTTACCCAAAAGTATTTCCCCTCATCCTCCTACCTTTCTCAGGCCTTTGAAAAAAGCCAGGCAGTCACTAAAGAACATGCAGCTCATTAAGAGTGTAGTTAGTAGAAGTAAACATGAGAAACAGGTAACAGACCAAATTTGTAGAATTTGACTCAGTTTTCTCCCCAAACACATAACCTTTGATTGGGGGCTGAGGTGCTTAAGAAACTTTGCTGAGTGCCTGGCCTAAGGTGACTATCAACTGCATGAACTTGTAGTCAGGTCCTGAGGTCTCTGTTGCAATCAGTAACACATGGCCTATCTTGTGTACTACAAGTCTTCGTACAGCACAAACACAACTATCAGAATTTAAACATACCTGTTGATAAAACCATATCCATTTCTGACATTGAACCACTTGACTGTGCCAAGAACTTTGGTGGCTGGAAAGAAAATTAAAGAAGTTAATCTAAAATATAAGAAAGTACAATAATGTTACATAAATACTTCTATAACCGCATATGAAGTTGCAACCAGACTTATTCTGTTCCCTTAACACTCAAAGCGTGCCTTCACCTCATTCTAATGCAGTAACAAGATACAGTGCTTTAACGCACTATTCTTCAGTCAAGGGTTTACCATACAGCACAAAACCTAGCTCTAATTCCAGAATAGACCATCCATCCCTTTTTTTTTATTTCCTATCCTAGAAATGGGCAGCACAGCTGAAAACCCCACTGCAGTTCATCAGTCCTCTTCAGGTTAGTAGCTAGACATGGAAACGTAGCTGAAGGAATCTATGTTTTACAATTCCTCTCTTTTACTTAGCTACCCTTCGTTCTTCCTTGGAAACCAGAACTGCCCAAAGAAGTAGTATCAAGTACTGTGCAACCCTCTCAAGTGGAAAGGCAGCACATCCTTATTCTGGAAAAGCTCCTTCTTGCATTGTCAGCATCACACTAACCAAGTAAGACCCCACTTTTTTTTTTTTTTTTTAATACTCCTACTGCTAAGATGATGTGTGATTGTGATGCCTTAAGTTTTAGCTTCCATATTTTTCAGATTCTGTACTGTCTCAGTAACTCTAAACTTCATATAAAGTGTTAGCAAGTCCTCTTCACAGCTGAATTAGACAAAACAATCCTTTTCCAGCCTGAGAACCAAGGGCACTGTTACAGCTTCTGGCCCAAAAAGTAAAAACAACAGCAAATTGACGAGAGCCATGGGGGAGGATGGGACTTTATAACCTGAAGCTGTAATTGGACAATTAATCCCAATATGTAAATAGACCAAAACTTATTAAAGTGTGAAAACTCATGACCGGTCATACACCTTGAGTAGAGCCACAGCCAGGCTCTTGTACTGTCCAAAGTGTATCCTTCAAAGGCCTTTTAATAAATACCTACTTTATTCCTTTAACACTGTTTAGCCTCTGCCCCAGGTTAGCCTCTCTAGGCATCAATTGTTTAGCTACAAAGTACCAACTTCATGTCCCATGACTTTCAGTATCAAGGCAAGCTCCTGTCTCAACAGGAAAGCAGCATCTACTTAGAAGCCACACTGCAGTGTCTTATAGGACCTGGCAAAACCTGTTTCTCCAACTTGTAGGAATGTGTAGGAGGAACTCGACAGCGATGGGGCAGTTCAACCTCTCCTTACCTCACAGCAACTGGACGGACACCACCAACCTGTACTTTTCAAACTCCTAGTTAAAGGAGAGTTCTAGCCTCTATAACTTAAGAGCTGTTACTTGTTAACACAGCTTGATTACAACTACTTAAGCAACCTGAGTACTTACTTGAAAAGGGTCTAGTCACCTACAGACAGCTGCTTGCTAAAAACCTCACATACATGTTTTGGGAGTGGCAGGAACTCAAGAGGAAATATAAAGGAAAACAGACTAGAGAATCTCCAGTTTAGAAGTCCACACCACTCTGCTAGAGGCAGAACACACTGTAAATTGTTACCATCATCTACTCTACACCTGTATTCTTTTCTAAATATTCACAAGGAGACAATGGAGCCAGCCAGACCTTCGGGCTCATGGAGTCTTGCTATTCTCATACACCCCTAAAGTAAGAACATCTGACAAATGCAGTGCATTGTAGCACTGCTGCTGTTATTACTGTCAATAGCAGGCCTTTCCCGTTAGCCTTTTAGAAGTGAAGTTTTTTGTCTTCTTTAATACACTTTTTAGTAGAAAATGTTCTTATTCAAAAGCAGTGAAGTCTTAACATGACTGAGATATCACCTAGAAAAAAGGACTCTGCCTAGCACAACATGCATTCCCAAGAATTCTTGTTTACTGAAACAGAAAAACATACCTTCAGTGCCAAACACTTGTTCAGTAAACAGTGTTCAGCACCAGTATTTATAGCTGTGCTTTTAGGTTTAGTTTCATAGGGACATCACCACATACAGACACTTCCTGCTACCACAATGGCATTGGCTACAAGAGCTCTCTACACTCAACAGGAGGGGATGGGGGAACACAGAAATAACGCCAACAGTACCTGTAGATTTCAGCCTGCTTTGAGAAACAATGCCAGTACCACTGCTTCCCTCAACATCATCCCTTCTCTCCCCTCCAAAATAGCTTTGGAATCTGTTAGCCTACTTGAACAAGATTAGGAAGAAGCCCAGGAAGCATGACAAAAACCCTCAAAGGGGTCAAGAGGCTGGGGAAGGAGAGGCAGTCAAAACTCACTCTGTGGCCAGCTGGCTGCAGCTAAGTGGAGAAGTATTTACACAGTTTAAAAACAACATTGTTCCATGGAGGTGACTCCAATACATTCCCCCTAAAACAGTGTGCTAGCAAAAAATATTCCCTGCAGACATTTACAGTCTCCCTAAGTATCACTGTGGGCCAAAAGAACCTCAGACAAAAGCATGACACTGAACATCCATGGCCCAGTCACTGGTAAGCCTGAGCATGGAGGGCTGGCAAGGAGGAGGACAGCCCAGAGGAAAACACAGTAACCAACTAAACTGATGAGTCACAGAAGGTAGTTGATGTGCTGACGTCCTTCCCACCAGCAAGTGGAAGCCCACATATTTCTACAAGATGCTGTCCTCTGACACTATCAGAGGAAACAATCACCAGCCACTCCTACCCACGACAAAACAGCCTTTTAACAAGGAGAGCCAAAGCTTCCTGTGACCAGGCAAAAAGAGAAAGCTGAGTAACCTTTACCCATACTCCCAGAAGTCAGACATTTGGATGCTTTGCCTCAAGCAAGCATAAGATTTTGCTTCTAACAGAGTCTTTGTAAAAGAAGGCTTAAAGGAACATAACTACACAGGTGACCATTAACAGGGACATTTAAGGTGGACTTTAATGTAAGTAAGTCCATTTTCAACTAGTATTTACAGTGATCCTTTTCCTCATCATTCCTAATAAAAAGCTTGCCTAGCAATAAGGCCATTTTGCAAAACTATCACCACGGTGGTTTTCATTTTCCTGCTAGTTCAGGAAAGACACTTACACGTTCACTTCTCCCCACCCCTTCTCTCCAAGCATTAGGAATACGTGAACAAGGTAAAAGCATTACCAGGAATGAAACAAGCCACATTAAGGCAAGAAGCAGCCAGATATACCAGCAGATATGAATGTACTGATTCCTGTGTACTAATTACTGACAAATGAGGTAATGGGAAAAAAAAAGGAATTGCACAAGCTGTGCCTCCGGTCTCTGCTTTGCTGGAATTCTTCCTAACTCCACTCCAGAGAAATCCTTTACCTGGCTTCTCTTTCTTACAGCAAGAACTCAGTTCTCCCCTTCAGAAGAGAAGGTCCTGTGTATCCTTAAGGAAATTTGGGACTCTACACTGTAAGTCAGCTTCAACTTTGCCTTCACCAAACCCTCAGAAGTTACACAGTTAGAAAGAGGACACAGATTGAAGTCCTGTCCTTTTCAACAGGTTGATCCTATTTAACCGCAGTGAAAACGAGTCACACTTGCTACACATCGGGCTTGAGCAGAGACGGCAACATGACATTTCGTTGCCTTCTTACTGATAGTAAAGTAGAAGCCGAACCCCGCTCCTCCAAAAAAACCCTCAAAACAAACAAATCCCACTAAACCTGGAAGCATTACCAAAGCAAGATGCTTTACGGATAGAAAACTTGCGCCAGGACCTTAACATTAAGGAGAGGCACATATGGTTTCCAACAGCCCTTCCCAGGGGAAACACCGCCGGCAGGTGCTGGGAAGGTGCTGAGCCCAGCTGGGGAAGGTGCTGAGCCCAGCCGTGCCCCGCTCGCTGGCCCGCACACTCCGGGCCGATGAGGCACACACGGGCCCAGCTCCCGAGCGCGTCACGGCCGGCGCCGCGCGGCTCCCCCGGCCCGCGGGGAGGAGGAGGCGGCCCGGCCTGACTCACCGCGGAGGAGGGGCGAGCGCACCGGCCCGGGCAGCGGGCGGCGGCCGCCGGCGGACCCCGTGCCCCGCCGCAGGTACGCCGCGAAGTGGCGAGCACGGCCCATACTCACCCAGCACTTTCTTCGCCGACTCGACCACCGCGGTTGTGGTTGTGGCTGCTGCGGCGGCGCCGGGGGCAGCCTCAGCAACAGCCGCACCCGGCGCGGCGGCGCTGGCGGGGCTCTTGGGAGCGGCGTCCGGGACGGCGGGCGCGGGCGGCGCGGCAGCCGCAGTCGGGACGGGCGGCGCGGCGGGCGCGGGGCTGGCGGTACTGGTCTCCGGCGCCTCGCTCATGGTGCCGGGCAGAGGTGTTGGGTGCTCAGCCACGCTCGGTCTTACTGCCCCCAAAATGGCCCCGCCGAAGTTTTAACACAGTCAGCGGGAGGCCGGCGCTGCACGCGCGCCGCCTCATTAGCATTTAAAGGGGCCGCGCCCGCATCCAGCGGGTGGTGTTGGGCGTGCGTCCCGTGCCGGCGCGGCACTGCAGGGCGCGAGGAGGGAATCTACAACTCATCGCATGCAATCTACAACTTCTTCGTGATGGGAAGCGGAGGGGCAGGCCCTAATCTCCGCTCTCTGGTGACCAGGGACAGGACCTGAGGGAACGGCTGGAGCTGTGTCAGGGGAAGTTTAGGTTGGATATCACGGAAAGGTTCTTCCCCAGAGGGTGCTGGGCACTGAACAGGCTCCCCAGGGAATGGTCACGGCCCCAAGGCTGCCAGAGCTCCAGAAGCGTTTGGAGAGCGCTCTCGGGGATGCACAGGGTGGGATTGTTGGGAACGGTCTCGCGCAGAGCCGGGAACTGGACTTGATAATCCTTGTGGGTCTCTTCCAGCGCAGGGCGTATTCCACGATTCGGGGACATAGCATTGCACGGCGTGGGTGGGCGCTCTCCGGCCGCTTGTCCGTGCCTGTCCGTGGCCACACGTGCACATAGGTGAGTGTGTCCGGGTGTCTGTGTGTCCGAGCGCCCGTGCCTGTGTGCGCGGTCCCGGAGACCGTCCCGCTCGGAGCGCTGCGCGGGGGCGCGCAGGCGGGCGGGTCCGCCTGAGGGGTTTGGGGTGCGGGTGTTCCGTGCGAGCTAGGAGCCTGCTGCTGAGGGGCTGCGAGGTGTCTGCATTGGCGCGGTCACTCCTATTTCTTCCCACTTTTCTCCCGTCGGCACTTTCATTCCCGCAGGTGTCCTCCAGTTCCCACCCTCCTAGGGCATTTAGTTTTCACCGCTGCTGTCCCGCTGCTGCCTCATTTCACTGCCACTGCCTACATCTCTCTCTCGGCTTCTTGCCTGTGTCTTCTTCCTTTTCCCCGTCCTTCTCCCAGTTTTTGTACAACCTCCACGAGTGTAGCTTTGGTGCTGTTTGTACTCGCTTTTGCAGTTTGCACTCACCAGCACCCCATCCTTATTCCACGTTCTCCCCATATCACTTTCTGCTCGTGTCCATCATTTTCTCCCAGATGGATGCCTGAACTGGAGCATCAGGGACATGGCCTTCTCCACATCCTCCACAGGCAAGGAAATAGTGTTTCTATACACACAGTTTTTCCTTACTTCTCTGTCCTGTTTTTTCCTTTATCTGCCCTCCTGATCTCCACTTCTCAACAATTCCTTGACGGTTCTTGCAGCTAAAGAGAAGGTCTTTGGAGAGTATCCTTTGCTGAACATGGCTGAGACAGCAAAGCCAGCTGCTATTACAGTTCTCACTGCATCCCTCTGTACACATAAGAGACAAAAAATATTTTTTTATCCCATAGCTTTTAATCCTCAATGTTGTGTTCATTACATGACTTTAAGAATATGTCACTCTGTTTCCTTTCTCATTTTTCAGGATAGATGAAAATTTCTAAGAAGGTGCTCATTGGAATAAATTTCAAGAGGATAGTTTAATTGTGTTATGGAAAATGTATAATCAAGACATGATGTGTACTTCATACATCAAATTTTCAGTGAAGTTGTTAGTTGATTTTTTTTCTTCCTCAAGTTAATTTTAGAGTTTACCAAAAAACCCATTCAACAAAAAAACTACAGTATAGAAGCTGTGAAATATACTGTGACAGAAAATTGGCAATGTTTCCCCCTGGGTTTTTTATTTTAATATGAAAAAAAACTATAGAGTAATCTTATTTTTCCTTTTCTAGCTGCCAATTTATAATACATTTCCTCTGCTTCAATATTTAAAGTCGTTTGAATTATATTGGAAGAAATCAATCCACCAACTTAGGTAACAAAAACTTTTGCATGGGCTAAGTAATTTCTGCCTCTCCACATTCTCTGAATATTTCCCATCAACTTGTTGTAAATTACTATTTTATAGAACTTAGAGCAATACAGAACCACAGATTGGTTGAGATTGGCTTGTCCTTCGTGTGTCTGAAAATCCAGGATTAGTTGCTCCATACCTTTCCCATGGATCTAGGTGAGGCCGACTTCCTTCCTAAGTAAACTGGAAGCTCAGACCCCTTAAGTGTAGGGGTAATTACATATTTCTTAATTAGATGATCACAAATTTCTCCTCTCACAGGATGCTGCCTTTTTTTCCAGCAAATGAGCTGGTTTGCAATAGTCCCTTTGATCCTCTTCACTTGATGTGCAATTATTCAACATATCATGTAGCCCTCAGACTGGATGCAGAATTATTCATTCCCTTCTTTCCCCAGGATCTGTGAGGATTAAACCAACACCAGTGACTCTGGAGTGCTGAGAACGGGCAAAAGCATCCCATAAGATTTCTGGATCCCATAGGTACAGTTTATTTGGTGATTTATGGATATGAATATCTTTTTCAATTTATAAGGTGTCTTTTCATGGACCTCAGGCTCTGCTGAGAAATCTGAGGGGAAAAACAGGATTGGGAAGGTTTTACATGGCAGAGGATATGCAAGGTGCCTGCAGGTCTGGAGCAGGACACACTGATCCCATAAGGTAGTGCAAAGACAGATTGAACTACCAGATTTTACAATTACTAAATGTGGTGTTGAGCAAAACATAAACATTTTGCAGGTACAAATCAATTTCTGTAATTGTATTTATTGGGGAAAAACAAACAAAAAACCCTTTTCAATAAAGAAGAAAGGTTCTGTTTCAACAATTGTAAAAACCAACATTTTAACACAGCATTTCCAAATAATTTCATGTACGGATTTTTTTTCAAATAATATACAAATATTTGTATATATATAATATATAATGTATATATAATATACTAATACAAACATAATGCTGAATTCTTTTTCTTTTCCTTTACAGTAAACAGTAAAGTGTGTAATATATATTACATTTTATATTGTCAGGAGCTGCTTCTCAAAGAACATCTTTAATATTGGAATGGAGGGAGTTTTACAAAATCTACTGAGTTGTTTAAAGGTTGGTTGTTGAAGACTTTCATTAAGGGGGAAAACCCCAAACCTGACACCGACTTTAATGGGAAGTATTGTGAATTCTTTAATCTAAAAGGAATCAAAGTAGTTTCTAGATTGAGTATCTGCAGGGTCCAGCAGTCAAATGCAAAATGCTGCTCCACCAAGTAGAATGCTTCAGAGTAAGACATAAGGGGCAGGTAAAGGATAAAAAATATTTCCTATGAAAGCCATGGGAGGTGATGTGGGACAAGGTAACAAAGTTACTGGCAGAGGAACTGACAGTTACTGTCACTGTTCCTTGATTTCTGTGGTGTTCTGCAAGCACCTCCCACCCCTCTCTGAGAAACACCAAGGTGAGCCTGGGGAAAAAACCTCCAGTGGACAATTTATTAGAGAAGTCTCTGAACTGAGATCACACTTGTCAAGAATTTTAAGCTAAATAAATTAACAAAATACTTCAAAACTTGTCAAAGGATTCATTTGGATATGTTATGTGGGTGTATGGTGGTCTACATACATCTGCTCCATTGTGGGAAATGAAAAACACTTCCTCCCAAAATAACCAAGAGTTTGGCATTGACTTGGGAACTGTTGGATTGAATTCACTCTACGTTCAGACTTGAGGTACCCAAGAATTATTGTTCATAAGCAAATTTGGATCCTTCCAGATATGCCGCTTCTCTTTCCCCGGCTAGCTGATGTTAAGAGTGAGAGGCGGCAGTTTTTCCCCCTGGAGCTCCATTGAATCCCAGCTGTCAGTTGTTTCGGCGCAGCATAAAACACAGGCAGCGCACAGGGGTCCCAGGGAAACTTTATTTGATGGTGTTTCTTCCCCTCTTTCTTCCTGGGCCCCCATTAAGGGGCCAACAAAGACTTATATCTCAGGGGAAAGGCAGGGGCAGACCCAACTTCCAACAAATCAGGAGAGTTGGGAGTAAAAACCTAGGCGGGGAATAACAGTAATGAACCAATAAACTTCCAAGGAAGAAAAACAGTTTTAGGAAATGGGTAAAGTTTGGAGAAATAGAAACTAGAAACTAGCTGATGACATCTCTGGGAAAAGGGTGGAGACAAAAGAAAAAACAGCACCAAGGAAAAACACTAAATCACAAATCAAACCATAGACCCACTGATAAAACAAAAAGCACGATACAACACAGATGGAAGGATTTAAAGGACTGCCACAAGGATTTGTGTGTTGCAAAACACGAAAAACTTCTGAGCGAATTAATGATGAGTACCTGGCTGGCTGTGATATATGAAAAACCTGATTCCAGGCTAGAGCTGAAAGACATGAAATTGGGAAAAAAGGTGATGATGATGATGATCCTGTTCCCTGCCTGCTGCTTTGTGTCCCTGCCCCAATGCTCCTGGTGTCATCTGAGGGGTTAAGGCAAGTGCACAGGAGGTGGTGTTGCTCTAGCAGAGTGTAAGGTGTAGCTGGAAGGACCTGATGAAGACAATTAGCTTTCCAGAGCCCTGAAATGCTTGGTGAGAGGCACACTGGCTTGCTCCCCTGACTTGCTCCCCGGACCTTTGATTATTTACCATTTTAAAGAGACTGGATGCCAGCCAGCTGCAGGCTCTGTGAGGAGGCAAAGGAACGGGATGAGTGTCTTTGCAAAGGGCTTTGCAAGTGGTGATTTAGAGGATAGTCACAAACAAGTGTAGTAGCCAAATTTCCCCTCAGAAATCCCTTCCGCAGCCACTCACGCTGACCACAAACCACATCTTTACCAACGACTCGAATGGCACAGAGACCACACACAGCTGCACTGAACGTGTGTGTGCCTGCACTGTGAAATAGATGGGCAGGAGATCTTTCTCCTTTTTAATGCCTTTATTAAAAAGAATCAGCTCAGGTGGGGAGAAATCGATGGGTCGCATCCACACTGCCATTGCTCCTGGAGTGGCACGGAGGAGGAGGAGGATGATGATGCAGCTTTGTCCGCTGGTCTGCAGGCAGAGCTGGGGATTCCGTTCTCATGAGAGATTAGGAGATTCCGTCTTTTCGGTCCAACACCTCGGGTCCTCTCTCTAGTCAACATCTTTTGAGAATAGGGTGAGAAGCAAAAGGGATCCAAGCGGGCACTGGACGACGTGCCCATCCGTAGACATCACCTAGGTCCCCTAATTCTATGTTGGCTCGTTGTTTTTGGGGGTTTTCCTGGAAAACTGTAAAATTTGGTGCAATGCATTTCTCATCTGCATACTAGCTCTGATGCCACTCCCCTGCCTTGCTGCTTGCAGGGTCCCAGTGTCACTCCCTGGCAAGCATCAGGGGGACAATGGTTAATCACCAACCATTAACAGGCAATTGAAGAAGAACTCTTAACAATGAAGCTAACTTAATAGCAACTGGTCCAGCTTGTTTTAACTCTGCAACCTGAAACAAAAATAGATAACTTTTTATTCATAACACACTGCAGAAGGAAGACGGAGACTGGCAGAGCCCCCGCCACCTCCCTGCTTGGTCAGGGCAGACACGGGCGAGCTGCAGCAGCACCGGCGATCTACGGGGACCCTCGGTCCGAGCTGGGCAGCTGCAGATCGGAGCCCAGGCAGAGGCTCGGCGTGAGCGCTTCAGCTCAGAGCCGCACACGCTGCCTTCGCCCCTCCAACACCTCTCTTGGACATGGCCTTTCCCTTCAATTTAATAGTTCTTTCTGAAGCCATTGCCGGGCTGTGCAATCCTTTCCACAGTGACGATCCGCGCGTCACTACGGAAGGCACGATGGCGGGAAGGGGCGGCGCCAGGTCGGCATCAGGCAGCCGAGGAGACACCTTTGTAAGGAGCGAGGGCCTTCGTGGTACCACACCAAAGATGGCGACCCAGCAGAAAGCTGCTTCTGCCAGCACCCAAGATGGTGACGAAGTGAGGCGGTGACGTGATGCCACACCAACGATGGCGTCTCACTCGGGAGTTACTTCCGCCAGTACCAAAGATGGCAAAATAGCCCGGTGATCACGTGATGCCACACTAAAGATGGTGTCTCATCCGACAGTGACCTCTGCCAGTCGCCAATGTGCAGGAAGTCACGTGGTGCCACACCGAAGATGGCGGGTCGGCACTAGACTTATTCGACCTTCCAAAGATGGCGGTACTTTGCGCATGCGCCTTGGGTAGGGGAGGAAGTAGCATCCCGGAAGGAGCCCGCCCTTCTCAAAGATGTCTATTGGATTGCCTGAACCCGAGTGTGACGCCGATCACGCGCTTCTTGCGCGATTTTCCACGGCGTTTCCCGGTGTGGGGACACGGCGCCGCGAGCAGGCAGCAGGATGCAGCTCCTCTTTCGCAGGAGCTGCGAGGTGGTGCTGGAGGCAAGGTTTGCGAGGCAGGGCCAGCAGGGAGAATTCCCGCTGCCAGCAGCTCCCTGGGAGAGCTGGGTGCACTCGGGCTGGGGAGGTCGGAGGTGTGCGGGGTGTTCACGTCCCCGGGAGCTGCTGAAATGGCAGCTGGCAGCAGCCTCGTGTGTCTGTGTGGTAGCAGCCACAGCGCTGGCAGCCAGGGGAGAGCTGGGAGGTGAACATCAGCAGCCTGGAAACAAGGCAGAGAGATGGGTTAACATGGCATGGACTTCTCCCAGGCATCTTGTGAAAAACGCCAATCACGTGTTTTAAAATTTTAAAAGTTTAATAATAATAATAATAATAAAATGGTTATAAAAATAGTAATGAATAATAGAGCAATAAGAATTTGGACAATCAGAGTTAGGACAATAAAGGACAATAAAAAAGCAAAGGATTACAGACATCTGAGTGCTCTGCTCTGTTCCGGAACACGTTTTGCTAACAAAGGATTAACTCTTAAAAGCAATAGCCCGTATTCATATATCTCATACATGATGCAAAAATTCCTTTCAGACAAAGGGTGTTTTCTTGGTTATTGTCAACTCCCCCCCTCATCTTGTAAATCAGTCGTCTTGGTCCCTCGAAGTCTGGGCTATCCCCATAAGGAGGCAATAATTCTTCTCTTGGGATCCTGGTGTCTTGTTGTTGTTATCTCTGTGCAAAGAATTTCTTGATTATCTTACCCATTCCTTGAGCTAGTTACAAAAAGTATCTCACATCACATAGTTTCTATTTTATATTATGCCATAGCCTAAAAACTATATTTACCACACTACTTAAAAGAGATTAATACAGCATAACTTTCCAACATAACTTACATAGTATTAATTTTAATATTTGCAAAGAGCCAATCATATAAACTGCATTTTTCACAATCTAAAAATAAAAACCATGTTTGGTTTTGCTTTAGGAAGTCAACATTGGAGTGACTCCCGAGGTGTTGGCATTTGTTTTAATGTAGTTTTGGTGAGGTACTGCCTCCGCATCTTTCTCACAGCTGCTGTTACCTCAGCAGGTGCCCCTGATCTCCCTGTGAGCTGCTGGTCTGTTCTTCCAGCCCAGTGGTACATTGAAGACAGCTCATGCTGTTCCCGAGGGGGTTTTCTGCCTGCAGGGACAGTTCTGGTGCCATTGGAGCCGTGGTGAGAAGGGAGGGCTGGCAGTGACAGGTTTGGGATGTTCTTCCTGTGGCACGCACATTCCTCCCTCCCAGGCAGGCTCTGAGCTTGGATTCCTCAGCTGGCACTTGCCAAGCACTGGAAGGGCCTTGGCTGTGCAGGGAACAGAACATTTAAGGGGAAAGCAAAGCTGGAGATGTTCTGGCTTCGGAAAGATCCTTTTGGAAGGGACTGAACTTTTCCAGCTGTGCCAAAACGAGCCAGTGAAGGTGTGGGAAAGTCTGGAAGGTTCCTTGTGCCCAAAGGATCATGGCAAGCGCAGCACTAAAAAAGTCTGAAGTAAATCTTGGAGTGCCTTTTGGTGGCCTGTTGAGCTTGGTAGAGATGCTGAGTGTGAAATTGCAGCGAAGCTGCCTTTGCTGCAGTGGTTGGAGGGAGAAGCAGTGGCAGCTGTTTGCTGGCTGCTTCTTGCCCACCTTCCCCTCAGTCCCCTGGAGCTCCAGGTAACCATACCACCTTTGCTTTTCCAAGGGTTTTTTTTTTTTTTTTGCTGAAGAGTTTCTAAATGTGGCCATGGGCTTTGCTGCAGCTGGATTTTATTTCTGCTTGAGGAAGTGTCTCATTGTAGGGTCTCTGGTTTACCAGTTCCCATGCCACGTTCACTGCAGTAGAAGCAGGCACGTAAAAGCCCAGGGCCTGGACTGGGATGCTCCACACTTCTGTCAAGCACAGGTGTCGTTGCTTGGTGTTGTTTCTCCAGTCCTGTCTGCTCAGGCCTTGTTCTGACCTGCTTAGCCATAAATGCCATTGCAGGAGGAGCAGAACATCCCATGGCTCCTGTGGATCACTTGTTGCACTGACTTTGTGTTGCAGCCTGAGCTGTGGGGCCTGAATGTTAGGTTTGAATTAATGCAAATTTTCCAGGATTGTGTGTTTGGAGTTGCTGGTTTAGGAATGGCAAGGTCTGGGTTTGGATTTGTGGGCACCGAGCGTTCCTTGTGTCAGCTTTAGGTGTGGATTGGTGGGAATTGTTGGAGGAAGAAAATGGAATTGAAATGCACAGATCCATTCCTGGAGACGTGATCAGGATGGGAGAAAAGAGGATGTGGAACTGCTGGGGAGCTCCTGGAGAGAGGAAAGGATCCAAGGATTAGAATTAAAAGCTGTGGAACAAAGCCTGAAACGGGGCAGGGGAAGGAGAGAAAGAATCCCTGCTCCAAGAATCCAGCAGGGGCTGGGAGAGCATAATTTTCCATCCACCAGCTCTTGGTGAAATCCTAATAATGAAGGTCAGAGGAAATTACTTGTTTGCTATTAGGTTTGGAATGAAAGGTGCTATTCCAGAGGGGAATATTCACCTGTTAAAATTCTGTTGGATAAAGGAAAAGAGGGAGGAAGCAGCTGGGGAATGAACTGGTGGATACAGCTGGGGATTTTTGGTGGATATAGGGGGAGATGTGGGAAGGAGCTCTTAGGTAAAATACACCTCACGCGTGAAACACACCTCACACCAGGAAAAGCCCCAGCTGCCCTTCTTTCCAAGCTCTAACATTCCAGAGGGGTAACCAGTGGTTTCTATATTCCCTTTCTATATTCCTTGGATGCCCAGTGCTTTGTTGGGAAGAGATAATATTAGGAAATTAACAAATCTGGGTATGTAGCTCCTGCTAAAAAAGCTCTGGAGGCCCAGGTTTTGATATTCACAGTAAAGATTTATTGATTGGGTGGAAAGATTCAGATTTGCTGGGGTTCCTGTGTTCACTTCAAGCTGCTTCTCCTCATGAGACCTGGGAATAAGATTTCCCAGTTCCTCTGGCCCAAATAGGAAATGCACCAACTCCAAAGAGTGGGGATTCTGGATATGCTTCCTTAGTTTGGCCTGGAAAAAGGAAGGAAACACAGTTTAACCCTACCTTGAGTGTGCCTTCTCTTTTCAGTCACACGGGGGGAGACGAGAACGTGGTGTAGGGCATAGGAATAGTTCCTTTTTATTTTGTGTCCATTTCTAATTCTGGATGAATTTCAGGAGGGGTGGAACCCCTCTCTGTTAAATCAGTGCCTTTGAAGGTGATTTGAATGGACACACAAACCTTGCCTTCTTTTGGAAGTCCTAGTGAGGAGAGGCCAGGGTTAAGGTTGCTTCTGCCTCTTGCAGCATTGAGAATCCCACTGGTTCCACAAATGAAAACAACAGGATTGGTGTTTTGAGGGTCCCTTGGCAAATTGCTGACAAGGAAAAGTTCCCACCAAGGTCTCGTCTGTGGCACGTGGAGCTGCTCTGGCCACTGAAAGGCTCCAGATCCACTGGTATTTGAAGTGAGCTGTGGCGGAACAGAGGAGCAAGCACTTGGGATTGATTTACTGCAAGGACTGGGTTTCGGCAGCAGTGATCAGCGGAGCTGTGGTGAGAAACCTCTCCAGTTTGTGCTTCCATGCAGCTCCTCCTCCTGCCCTGGGCCGATGGCACTGCTGCCATGGGAGACAGGCTCCCCACACCTACTGAAATGCAAAGCATTGGAAATGCCAGAGATGAAACATTAGTGTAGAGTGGGAAGTGGGAAACAAGTGCTGGCAGCAGGGTGACCCACTGAACGGCACTTGCCAGGGACTCGGCAGCCACATGGGGAGGAACGTGGCAGGGCTCCACCATGGAGTCCCAGCTCTGCTCCACCCTCAACCCTGGGCCCTTGCCAGATCAGCTGCTCCTTCTGATCCTGAGTGGGCACAAATTATCCCTATTTGCTTCCCAAGGAAAAGGCTGAGCTTGGTGTCCTGCATTAAGGTTGTTTATAACCTCTGGAGTTTCCTTATTAATGACTGCCCAGGAAGGAGCTTGGAGGATGTGTTCGCTGGGCAAGTTTGGTCACAACTGACAGAATTCCTGCTGGCTCCTTCCCTTCCTGGTCTCTCCTGTTTCACTGAGCAGAGCTGGCAGCACTGGGAATATCTTTGTGCTCCTGCTTTTCATCCCCTCCACAATCCAGAGGGTCTGGCAATGGAGAAAGAAAGGAGCCAGGAATACCGGGGCAATGAGGGACATAAGCTCCTGTCAAGCCGAGACTTCCCAAGCCTAGATCTGAAAGGATCCAGGCATTGCAAGCCTCTGATGCTCTGTCCCATCCTGGACTGGATATTTCTAGTTTTGGTTTAACAGCTTGTCCCAGGAAACCTGCACAAACCTGACACAGTGTTTGTCCTGGGTTCTGAAGAACCTGGAATTCACACCTTTGTCCCTTGGCAGTGTTTTCTGTTCTAATTTCCCTCTGAACACTCACTGCTGGGATACACTGGGAAAAGCCCTGTCCCTGCATGGGATGGAAACTCCTCCATGTCTCACCAAGAGGTTCAAAGCCTGTTTGGTTTTCTGGAAGCAGTTGATGAACTCGGTCTCGCTCGGGGGCTTGCTCAGAGGGTCAGCGTTCCCTCTGCCAGGAGAAGGGGCAGAGAAGGACACGTTGGTGAGAACATCCCCTTTGGGAAGGTTCCACCTCCCTGCTGTCCAGAAGGCACAGCAGAAATGGGTGTTGAGACCAGAACTACTGAAAATGAAGGGCTCAGGGAAAGGCAAACTCTCTGTGTGCCAGAGGCTCCGTGTGCTTTGCCAGAGGTGCCCCAGAGTAGAGGCACCTCCCAAGCTGCTGGGCCTGGATCTGTGGCTGTGCTGCGTCATTGATCTGGCCCTGCTGTGCTGGGGGCTGAGGTGTCCCCCCGCCTTCATCCATGCCCCTCTGTGCTCCCCGTTTGTTCCAGCTGCTGCACTGCTCCTGCTGGCCCTTTCTTCTGGCTCTGCCTCCCTTTTCTGGGCTGTGGGAATGCCTCTGTTGCCTTCTGGAGCTGGGTGAGGAGCACTCGGATGTCACCCGGGGTGCAGATCAGGATTTGCTGTGAGGACAGAAACCCAAGGGACCGAGGTGAAAGCAAACCCGGGCTGGGCGTGGCTGGGAACCCGAATCCCAGGGCCTGCTGCATTTCCCAGGAGGATGCACAGGAGGCATGAAACAGAGCTGGATGCATCCCTCTGCAAGCACAGAACTGCTGGGCCTGGCTGTGGGCTGTCCTTACCAAGGGGACAAGTGACCCCTGCTCATGGATGGCTACAAATAACCCAGGTGGGATGGGGAAGAGCAGAGCTGGAATCAGCAGAGCTGCCTCAGGTCAGAGGACATTGGCACTGACTCGGTGATGGAGATTTGCTTTTGGCCACCTTATCTTTGTTTTGTGCACAGCAGGTATCACTTGGAAAAATGACCAGAGGATGCATTAAATGCCTGCTCAGGGAGGAGCCCCTTGCTCCCTGCCTCTCTACTCCCTCTGCTCCTGCCTGTGGACTGTGCAGTGTCCTTGTTCCAATCATTCCCTTTGCCAACTCCCGTGCTGCTGCGCTGCTGTCAGGATTCCTCTACTCCCCCCGGCTAGGGGAGGAGATCGCACCGGCTGAGCTGAGGCACAGCAGCGGGGCGGGGGCACTTCCCAGATGCACCAGGGCCATCCGGGGAGCGCCTTGACAAGAGGCAGCGGTGATCAGCGAGGAAGGTGAAGGAATGAAGAAAAGAGAGACTCCTCTTGGGGGCGAAATCCAGAAATCTATTATCTCCAGGGGAGCCATTCGAGAGGAGACCCAGAACAAGGGGATACAACAGTATATAAAGGGGGTGGAACAACTGGGTGGGGACAACACAACAACCAATGAGGGAGAACTTAGAAGGGAGCACTAGCAAATAAGGGATGTATTAGGGAGGGGCTCTATTTCCTGGTCCAATCACCCACTGAAAGGAGGAAAAGGAATTTTTGAATTTCTGGAATAAGAGGAGGAGTCAGTGGGTGATGGACAGGAGCTCAGGGAGTGGTTAACAGAAAAATCCATGGCAACAGGGGAGGAGACAACAAACAGACAGCTCTTATACATGGGGAGGGGATAACCGGGGAGGGAGGAGGATCCCAAGACCGAACCACTTTAATAATTGGGGGAAACGAACATACCAACTCCAACAAAACCAAACAACACACTACAACGCTGTGCTAGCTTGGCTCCAGACTCCTTGTGCTCGCCAGAGCCAGAGCTTCGTTGTTCAGGGTCTGCAAATGAGGGACAGAAAAATACATTTGCTCTCAGAGGTGGGAAATGGGCTCTCCCAAAGGCAGGGATCCATGGGATGGTAGCTCCCAGCTTGGGTGTTAGCTCTGGGTTGTGAGGTCACCTCGGGACACCCCAAGGAGCAGGAGGCAACTGGAGTTGCTGATTAAATCCTGTCGGGGCACAGCACCTGCCTGCCAGCACACCGTGTCCATCCCCTGCCTGCTCTCAGCTGCAGACAGGGCTGAACCACGAGGAGCAACCAGCAGAGTCCTGCCAGCCCCAGCTCCTGCTCCGGGTCCCCAGCTCCTGGGCCTTTGAGGAATCTATGTGGAGGAGCTGAAGAACCAGAGGTCAAGTGGGATTTGATGAACTCTGCTCTCCCTGCAATCCTCCAGCTCTCTGTGGGAGCCTTCCATCTCCCAGAGGTTCCAGTTTAACTGAATGGTAGTGGAGAAAGAAGGAAGAAGGCCTGGAATTCTTCAGGATGGGTGTTTAGGCAGCCCTGGGCACAAATCAGCATTTTTGTACAAATGCGTGCAGTCCCTCAAGCGCTTGCAATAGGTGCTAAATCCCAATCACCCTTCCAAAAACCCAACCCCGAGGCATCTCCCAGCTTCCAGCAGCCACACACTGAGAGTGGGGGGGATATTCTAGTGGGAGTGATCGCTGGGGTGGCCCCTGGTGCAAAGCAAAGGGTGTCAGTTCAGGGCAGGGGCTCAGAAAGGGCCGGCACAGCCCCAGGGATCTGTCGAGGGGGAGAGCTGGAGAGGTAGCTTTGGCGAAGGATCGTGACAGGTCCGCTGCCGTGAGGGGCACGGAACAAAGGGCTGGAATTGGGCACCGGGAGGGGACCCCGGGCGGGGAATGTGGGGAGCTTCAGACTGTGGGCTGGGGGACCCAGGAGGTGCTGCTGGCTCCGGCAGGGCCCCACCAGAACTGGAGCCGTGGGATGCTGGAATGGTTTGGGGTGGAAGGAACCTTAAAAGCTCATCCTGCTCCACCCACTGCAACAGGCAAGGACACCTGCCACTATCCCAGCTTGCTCCAAGCCCTGTCCACCCTGACCTTGGACACTGCCAGGGATCCAGGGGCAGCCCCAGCCCCAGCTTCTCTGGCACCCTTTGGCAGGGCCTCAGCACTCTCACAGGGAAGAATTCCCCATAATAGCCAACCTAAACTTTTTCCTTCAAAACATGGTGAGTCTGCAAACTTCTTTACTAAATTCTTACTTGTGTTCTGTCAAAACAAACCCTAAAACAATTCAAAATACCAACATGTGTTGTTTTTCCCCGCTCCCTTCCCAGCAATGTGGCACAAATTCCAGTGATGCGAAGAAGCTGGAAGCTGGATTTCAGACAGTGGAGGCGATGGCTTATGCACCAGAGAAGGAGCTACTGAACATTAAAGGCATCAGTGAAACCAAAGCTGACAAAATCCTGGTAAGGATGGTCTGGAACTTTAACCCAAGATATTCCACAGGTTTATTTCTGCTGGCTGAAAGCATTGTGGTGAATATGGAAGGTCTCCAAAGGACAGTAAAGATGATTGGAGGTGTCATATGACTTGTGAAAAGGCAAAATGCACCAGCACAGGACTGAGCTGAAGGGAAGGATACTTCCATAAAACACACAAAAGGGATGCTGGAGCTTTTTCTTGGAGCAGAATTTCAGTTCTGTTCAGAGGCATCAACTCATGCAAGGTCTATGAAATGTGCAGGGAACGACACAGGCACCTCTTCACAAGGCAGGAAATACTAATTACAGGGTTAATGAATGGCATGAGCTCTCCTGGCACTGCTTAGTTGGGTTTTCCCTCAGGCTGAGGTAGCCAAACTGATTTCCAGGGTTTCACTACAGCCACAGAATTCCACGAGCAGTGGTCAGACATCATCCAGATCACCACTGACTCCAAAGAGCTGTAAAAGCTGCTTCAGTCAGCATTTTATTATTTCTCTTTCCTGCATAAGCTCAGTTATTGGGGTGGGGTTTTCCCATTAGCTTGATCTTTTCATGGAACTACGTAGGACAAGTCTTGGTTGGATGAAAAACCTCTAGGACTGCTCTTGAATAATTGCTTTTATTTTAAAAGCTGCAGAAATACTTTTTAACCCTTTTAGTCATGATGCAAGACTCAGAGCTGTCAATTTTTGGATGTTTCTGGTTTATTTAAGTCCATGATATGTTTAGGGAAAACAAAACCAGACATCACCATGTCCCCATTCCCCTGGTAATCCAAAAATGAAAAAATGTAATTTCATTTTTTAAGCATCTACAGAAACACAGCTGGACTTCTTATCTCAGGGTGAAAAGCAGTTTTCCCTCTTAGTTTTGAAACTTTCAGCCAAGTTCAGTGTTTAACTGAGTCTCTATACACGTAATATTTTGTATGTGGGATAGATACATACATACTTGTTTGTAACATGTGACCTTTTAATTTTCATTGATAATTATTATTGTCATTTTCCCTTCAGGAGAAATAGAAACAGGATTCATAACAGATTTATTTGGGGAATTCCATACTGAGAAGACACAGCAGTGTCCCAGCCTAGCAGTCACTGGTCAGGTGAGGGGTTTAGCCTTGGGCTATTTGCTATTTTGAGCATCTCCCTTGACTTTCTAAGTGTTTATTACTGTCTAGATGTTGCCATTCCCTGAAATATTAGCGGCTTGGACTTAATTTGATAATTTAGTTGACTCCCTAAACTTCCCAGCTCAAAGCTGAGCACCGGTCCTCTTGTGTAGAACCATGGAATCCTGGAATGGTTTGGTGGGAAGGGACCTTAAAGCCCATCCAGTTCCATGGGCAGGGACACCTTCCACTATCCCAGGTTTTTCCCAGCCCTGTCCAGCCTGACCTTGGACACTGCCAGGGATCCACTGCCAGGGATCCAGGGGGCAGCCACAGCTTCTCTGTGCCAGGGTCTCAGCCCCCTCACAGGAAAGAATTTCTTCCCAAGATGCCATCTGTCCCTGCCCTGTGTCAGTGGGAACCCATTCCCCATTGTTCTGGCACTCCAGGGTGACAGGTACTGCAAAGGGAACGTGTCGGAGATGGGGACCAGGAATGTTTCCTCTTGCTTTTCCCAGCTAAAAGGGAATTTAATCACAATAGCTTGGGATATTATTTGTCATATGACCTCAGTGAGGGCATGTGGCCATATCTGCTGTACTTATGGATACTTTATTCCCAGTTCAATCCTTTTCTTCTCCTTTAGCTCCCCATAGACCATGGTGACAATGAGGAAAAGCCACATCCATGGACACAGAGGGGACCTTCCATCCAGAGCAACTCCTGGCTGTGGCTGAAAGGTCAGTGAGTGGAAGACAGGAGTAGATGGACCCACAGCTCAGCTGGAAAATGTTTTCCACAGGTCCTGGAGACTGATCTGGCAGGTGTTCCCTTTGCAAAGCTCTGAGGTGTTGCTCCTCTCCCATCTCTGCCACTCTCTCCCCACAGCTCTCGTGTCATTGTCTCTTGGCACGAGGTGATTTCCCTCTCTTGCTGCTGGAAGGGACTGGGAGCTTCCCAAGCCCCCTCCCCTCGCCACTCCTCACTGGTATCCCATTGGCTGTGGACTCTCCCTCTGTCCCCATCCCAGGGGGTATAAAGCTCCCTGCTGCCAGGGAACGCCCTCTTTTCTCCCATGGGTCTGTCCGCCTGATGTGTGTCTTGGAATAAAGGACAACATTTCCCACGTGGAGGAGAGCGCTTCTCTAATCTTTTACCTTCGTCTATGAAGTATCGTGTGGGCAAGGGTCTGTAGCTAGCCAGAATGGACCCCAACAGCCCAGGAAACTCAATTCTTCACCCTGCTGCCAGGGAATGTTTGGCAGCCAAGTGAAGAAGAGGAAAGGAAATGATGCTTGCAGCAGGCACAGGTGTGTCTGTGCTGGCTGTGTATAGGGTGTCCTTGGAATCACGGAATCCTTCAGGTTGGAGGAGCCCTCTGAGATCACGGTGCCCAACTGTTCCCTGGTGCTGCTGAGGCCACCACTGTCCCATGTCCCCAAGTGCCATATCCACACAGCTTTAAATCCCTCCAGGGATGGGGCCTCCACCACTGCCCTGAGCAGCTGTGCCAGGGCTGGACAGCCTTTCCACTGTGAGACTTCCCAATATCCTGCCTAAACCTCCCCTGGGATCACATCAGGCCATTTCCTCTTATCCATTTCAAATGGTTCCAATCATTCCCTTCTATTTTCATCACCATAGGTTGCATTTTTCCCCTCTGATTTTATCTCTTCCAGGGACGTGAGTTTTTCTTCCAGTCTTTTGGCAAAGCTCCTGGCTAACTCCAGGAGCTCCAAGGTTTTTCCTTTTTTTCCCCCTGATTTTGCAGGAATGGCCTCTGGCAGTGGTGCCCTGGACAAGGTGGCCTCTGCCGGGGCTTTACCAGCGACCGCCAGGGGCAGCTGCTGGATCAGGCTGAAGACTGAAAACTCCTTTTCTCCCCCTGAATGCCCAGTCCATGTCCCTGAGAGGCTCCTTTCCTGCTGGCACCTCAGGGACACTCCCTAAGGCAGCGGGCGAAGGGAGCTGTGGGTGTCAGCGTGGGAAGCGTCGGGACACACCGAGCTCAGCTGCAGCTGTGGGAAAAGATCTCCCTCTGGGCTGCAGGTACAGGGCAGGGCCAGGAGCTTCCTGGGCACCGTTCCCATGGGAATTCCCTGCGTGTCTCGCTGGATCCTGCCGTGGACACAGTGCAGAGAATTTCGGTGGCCACAGTTGGGAACTCGGTGAATTGGAAGCAAAACTGAAGGGTTTGTCCACTGAGAGAAGTGGTGATTTACAGAGCAAAGCAGAGTGGTATCCCACATGGGGAACTGGGGATTTGGGATGGTCCCAGTCCATAATCTTTCTGTTCATTTTCTTTTGGATGCTGCAGCCTGCTGTCCTGAGGGAGCTGCTCCTTTTCGTTTCCATTTAATTTTCTGTATTTCGTTAATTATCTGTGGAAATCTGCTTTTAATGAAAAGGCCCAGGAGGATATTGATGACATCCTGCAGGTGCGTGCTCAGACCAAGGATTGTTCTGGCTGGCAGAAGCTGCACCAATCTCCCAGGAATCTCAGTCTGGATTTTCTTTTCTCCCGGTTCTCCCAATTCTCACTTTGGGAGTGCAGTGCAGCCCTACCCTGTGTATCTCCTAGAAGAGTTTGGGGTTAAAAATGTTCTTTTATATTCTGCAATATTTCTCTAGAACTCTATTAAAAAGAACAAAACCATATCAATGTGGTTTGGACTGGTTCATTTGCATTGGTTAATTAAAGCAAATCATTGAGAAGGGGTTTGAGCAGCCCTTGGTTGGAGCTGGCAGCTCTTCTTTATTGTCTCTTCATTCTCTGAATTTCTTTGAATTATTTCATGAGCAGTTACTGCAATCAAGATACATAGTGAGGAGAAACAGCATTGCTGCCCTGCTGGATTGGGAAATTCAAGTCCAGTTCCTCAGAGGGATGGAGGGGACAGGGAGCTGAGCCTCAGGCTGGGATTTGGCAGTGGGAATTCGGTGAGGAGGGGAGAGGGGAGATCCCCCAAAACTGGTTAAAGCCAATTCTGCTGGGTTTGGGTGCCCCCACCCCCCAAAAAAACGATCCTGGTTAAAGGGAACTTGAGGAAGCAGCGGGATGTGCTGGGGGGGCTGTGCTGGAACCTCCAAACCCTGGGCAGGGATGGTGAGCTAGAGACACAGGAACACTATGGAAGTGGGGGCTGTCACCTCCAAATTCCAGCCAGGAATGCAGGGCAGTGCCAGGTCCAGAGGAACACTATGGAAGGGCTCTGCTGGGATCCCCAAATTCCAGCCAGAAATGCTGGGGACTGCCATCTCTTTGGGACACTGCCTGATCCCGAGTGTTTTCCCATTTTTTTCTGTCGTGCTCAGTACCTGACATTTCATTAGAGTCCCACAGGCCAAAAATCCCATGGGGGCAGCTGGAATCACAGCCGATCACACAGAGGCTGGTCCAGGACTGGAAATGAGCTATTCCACAGATTTATTTTTCCCAATGGGTTTTTTATTTAAAGCAGAACACCGACCGTGCCCCGACCCCATCCCCTTTATTTTTGGGGCTTCTCCATGAGAATTATCTGCTGGATAAAAAATTCCCCCGGCTCTGCAGGGCCCGGCGGGGCCTTGGAGGTCCCCGAGCCCTGGCGGGGCCGCAGCCGGAGCAGGAGCGGCAGCGCCGGGCCCGGCCCCAGCGCCCGTCCCGGAGCGGCTCCTCCCGCCCGCGGCGAGCCCGGTCCCCATCTCAACGCCAATCCCGCCTCGGTCCTCCAGCCCCAGGACTCCCAGCGCACACGGGCAGGACCCGGAGTCCCGGTCCCAGAGCGGGTCCCAGCCCCGCTTCGGCCCAGATGTAAGGGCGCGGAGCCGCGAGCGACGGCCCCTCCCGGGGTGGAGCCGGGGCTCCGTGAGGCGGGGCCGGGGTGGAGCCGGGGCTTCCGCCTCGGGGGCGGGGTCGGGCCGGCTCAGATGCGTGGGGCCCCAGTGCGGCTGCGCGGGGCGGGACCGAGGTCATTTATTTCCCGGAAATCGCTTCGCTCGTCATTTGCGCTCTCAGAGCACGGGAGGGGTCGGATCTTCTTGTGCGGGCTCCGCAGGTGAAGCGCGGGGGCTTCGGCCTCCCCTCTACTCCTCCTTCCTTCTCCCCGTATTCCTTTTCTTTCTCCTCCTTCCCTCTCACCCCGAAACCCTTTCCTCCTCTCCCGCCAAACGCGACCCCCCCCCCACTCCTTCCTCTCCTGTCCCTGCCCCGCTATCCCCTTCTATTCCCTTCTTCCCCTCTGTCCACCCTCCCTCTTCCCCCTGTGAAAAACGCCATTCACTTGTGTTAAAATTTTAGAAGTTTAATAGTAATAAAAATCAGGACAATAAGAGTTTGAACAATCAAAGTTAGGACAATAAAAAGCAAAGAATTACGGACGCCCGAGTGCTTTGCTCTGCCCCAAAGCACGTTTTGCTAAGAAAGGATTAACCCTTAAAAGCAGTAGCCTATTGCGTATTCATATATCTCATACATGATTCAAACATTCAAACTAAGGGTGTTTCTGCTTAATGTCAGTTTCCCCCCCTCATCTTGTAAATCAGTCGTCTTGGTCCCTCGAAGTCTGGGCTATCCCCATAAGGAGGCAATAATTCTTCTCTTGGGATCTTGGTATCTTGCTACTGTTATCTCTATGTGAAGAATTTCTTGATTATCTTATCCATTCCTTGAGCTAGTTACAAAAAGTATCTTACATCACATAGTTTCTGTTTCAATATTATGCTATAGCATAAAAACTATATTTACCACCCTACTTAAAAGACACTAATACTGCATAACTTTCCAACATAACATATATAGTATTCATTTTAATATTTGCGAAGAGGCAGTCATATAATATTCATATTTCATACCCCCAGCTGGCCTTTCCCTTTCCCCCCTGCTTCCCTCCTCACCCTCCCCACTTCTCCTCTCCCCGTCCTTTCCTCTCCCTCGGGGTGCGGGAGAATAAAGCCCATCGGGTCGGAGCCCGGCGCCCGCTGAAGTCCCCACACGGGGCCGGACGCGCTCTGCGGATCTGCAGTACTGTTCGCGCACAGCGCCGGCACTCCGGCTTCCACACATCACACTGTGGAGGCAGGGAGGGCCCCCTCCTCCTCCTCCTCCTCCGGAGGGGGCCCTCTCCAACCCCCCCACCCCTCCAGGACCCCTCCTAAGGAGGGGGCCCTTCCTAATCCACCCTCATCCCCTCCGGAGGAGAGGGTTCCCCCTAACCTATCCATACCCCCTCCCCCCTTTCCGGAGGAGGGGGCTCTCCCTGACCCCCAGCCCAGTGTGATGGCCTTTCCCCCCAGTGTGATGCTGGGAAAGCCACAACCCCGGCGGTGTCGGGCGGTGTATTAGACCGGTGTGGGCGGACCCGCCGAGCGGGTCCGGCCCCGTTGCGGGGTGGGGGGGGAAACCAGCGAGGGCAGCGGGCGCCGGGCTCCGGCCCTCTGGGCTTTATTCTCCGGCACCCCGAGCTCCGCGGCTGCGGACAAAAGAGAGAGAGCGGGAGGTGGAGAACGGGAATAGGGGGGCAGAGGTGGTTGTCAAGGGGAGGGTGACAATGACAGAGGGCAGGTGAAGGGAGGTCGGGGTGTGCAGGGCACCAGGGGAGGGGGCTACCGGGAAGGCAGGATGGAAGAAAGAAGGAGAGGATTGAAGGCAGATGGGGGAGACGGGGGTGGGAAAGGGAGTGGGGGCAGGGGCGAGCTGGGGTTGGGGGGAAGGAAGGGTGGAAGGAGAGGATGGAGGGGTGCGTAGGGTTGGGGTACGTACATGGATAGGAGGGAGGGGAGAAAGGAGAGGTATCGAGAAAAAGAAGTACGGAAAAAATACCAAGAAAGAGAGATACAGAGCCTCGCAGCAGGCGCCGAGGGGCAAATAAGCGCGCAGGGTCCTCCCCGCGGTTTAAATCCACGCACCTGTGCCGGCACCGCCCCGCCCATAAATCCCGGCGGATCCGCGGCCGCTCCCCTCGGTGCGGTGGATGCCC